CTGGGCCAGAGATTTCCCAACATTCCTTTAGATAATCATTACCAATAAAAATATGAAAGCCATAGTATTATCCCTACCAGGGTCCTTTAAATAGCCATGGATTCTGTAGACACCCACAGCAACACCAGCTGTTTCCATTTCAGATCTAGTAGCTTGATATTTTGATGCAAGAAACAGTTGCTGGCCCTACAGGGGCTTGTTCATTTTGGGGCTAAAAACAGCTTAGATGCATTTCCCACAGTGCGCTCAGTATTTTTTCCACAGTCTTGAAAAAGCCATGGTTCATTTACGATTAAGGCAGAGTTGAAAGCCCCACTTTTTGCCTTCTATAAAATATACGATTCGACTTTAGCCTTGAGGGGAATTTCTTGAAAAACACAGACATTCAGCCAAGCCTGGATCATCCAGCTGTGAAAGTATGCCAGCTGAATGGGTTTCTATCTTGTGTGGAATTAATTATTAAGTTGCAAGAAGTCCACGACACCACATAGAGAAATAGGATTAATTTCCAAACTGTAACATCCCCAGCAGTTACAAAACAGCTTTTCAACCCTGATCCAGAGCATATTTACTCATAAAGTAAGTCTTAATGAGTTCAGTAGGATTTGCTTTTGATTTCAATCAGTGGCTGCAACCCTGCGCACACTGATGTGGCAGTTAACTCCATTGAACACAGTGGGATTTGCCTCTGAGTCCCTGCTCCTGCCCACCTAGCAGTTGGAAAGCATGTCCAAGTGCAAGTAGATAAATAGGTACCGCTCTGGCGGGAAGGTAAACAGTGTTTTTGTGCGCTGCTCTGGTTCGCCAGAAGCGGCTTAGTCATGCTGGCTACATGACCCGGAAGCTGTACGCCGGCTCCCTCGGCCAATAAAGTGAGATGAGCGCCGCAACCCCAGAGTCGGTCACAACTGGACCTAATGGTCAGCGGTGCCTTTACCTTTACCTTTACCTAAACATATTTAAGGTTGCACTGTTAGAGATTCAGGCATCATTGGGGAAGTTCTGCTGTTTTCAGAGCATCTCTGTTGTTTCTTTTATGGCTTGAATGCGAGATAGATGATAGATAGATAGATAGATGATAGATAGATAGATAGATAGATGATAGATAGATAGATAGATAGATAGATAGATAGATAGATAGATAGATAGATAGGAAGGAAGGAAGGAATACTGAAATTCTCTTGGATCAGGAGAAATATTGGGAGGGATTTGGAGAGCAAGCATTTTTTTCATTTTCTTTCCCCGTTGCCTTTCTCTAAATACATATACGGACCATGAACATGCCTTCAGCAGCAACTGGTAAAGGCTAGAATGGCTAGGTTGATTTCAGGCAAGGAGCAAATGGAAACAGGAGGTGTAGTCATAGGGAGCACATAAGGAAATGCTGTCAAACATGTAAAGAGCTGCCCACAGAACTGCGCCACCATAATGTGCTTCACTACATTGACTGTTGGGCAATGTGCATTTTTACGGTGGTTTTCCCCCTTATCAGAGGATCTGAAGAATCTGGATTCGGTTCCAAAAAGGTGTAGGCTGGCATTTAGATAAGGATGCTAGGGGCACGTGTGGCATCAAACCCACATTAATCTTTTGTATGGACCAAGCCCTTGCCTTCCATTTATAAAATAGCCCATTGCCCTATTTTTTCAGGATGGATGTACAGTGGTGCCTCGCAAGATGAAATTAATTCGTTCCGCGAGTTTTTTCGTCTTGCGATTTTTTTCGTCTTGCGAAGCACGGTTTCGGAAAAGTTTTGGAAAAGCTTCAAAAATCACCAAAGTCTTCAAAAACCTCAAAAAAGGCTATGAGTTGCTCCTCGAAGTCAAGTCGCAACTGTATTAACGGTGTTAAGAAAAAGGAAACAAACTTGCAAGACGTTTCCGTCTTGCAAAGCAAGCCCATAGGGAAAATCGTCTTGCGAAGCAACTCAAAAAACCAAAAACCCTTTCGTCTTGCGAGTTTTTTGTCTTGCGAGGCATTCGTCTTGCGAGGTACCACTGTACTTGTTCAGAATGCATCACCCTACCTGTGTCACAAGTATTTACATTATATATATATAGATTACGTGGAAAAATATTATGGCAAGAAAATAATCGTAACAGGCTGACAATACTCAGCAGTAGAGGTTACAGTGTGGGATGATGTAAGGTAATGAAAACAACTTAGTAGAGAAAGAAAACGCAGTTGAAAAGATAGCAGATAGGAAACCAGAGAAAGAGTGGAAGGGGAGTAAAAGTTAAGATTTATAAGAGTCAAATCAGTTGGAGGAATAAGTTAAACCATTAATATTTGTGTGTGTGTGTCTTATATTTATGTTATTCTTCTTTCTTATTATCCTGTGTATGAGCGCCACAACCCCATAGTTGCCTTTGACTGGACTTAACCGTCCAGGAGTCCTTTTTTACCTTTTACCTTATGCGTTGATAATATGATAAAACAGTAAAGCAATTGAAATTGTTTTTTAAAAAAGAATTTACATGTTATTGATTAGTAAAGAAAAGTCAGCGTGCAAAAAAAATTTCAGCAGTATAATAATAAATTTATTTGATGAGACCTCTAGAGCAGTTATTCAGTGATCTTATGTGGCACCTTTTTTTTTTTTAAGCAGCAACTCCTGAGGGTGGAGGAAATAGGGAAGTTATAAATTTGAGATCTTGACTATTGGAAAGACAGCAGAAAGCAATAGGTTCATGTTTGCACAAGGGCTCCAGTGCAAACTACTGTTAAAACATATGCAGTTGGTCAGCCAGTCACTATAAGCAGTGGAGCAGAGTTTGCAGTAATGGAATATTCTCTTTTGGAGAAATGGTGTAGCCCAGCCTTTCTCAACTTTCTTCCCTCCAGGTGTTTTGGACTGCAGGCTGGGGCTGATGGAGAAGGCTGGACTAGATCTAAATTATGGATCTAATTTATGTCTGGATCTAAATTATGTCATGGAATATTTGCCAGGTGACAAAAAGAAGGGTGTCGTCGCATGCTATTTATGGCAGATACTTCAAATTCTTTACATGTCTGACTGTTCTTGGCTTGGCTACTGATAGAACTGGAGTGAAGTGACCAAAGGTTCAGAGGATGAAATAACCATTGTGATTATAGAAGGGAGTTTCATACAGTATTGCAGAGACACAAGTTTGTAGTTGTGCTCTTTGATTCTCTTTTCTTGTCCATATGTTTTTGTGCTATACAGTGGTACCTCGGGTTAAGTACTTAATTCGTTCCGGAGGTCCGTTCTTAACCTGAAACTGTTCTTAACCTGAAGCACCACTTTAGCTAATGGGGCCTCCTGCTGCCACCGCGCCGCCGGAGCATAATTTCTGTTCTCATCCTGAAGCAAAGTTCTTAACCCGAGGTATTATTTCTGGGTTAGCGGAGTCTGTAACCTGAAGCATATGTAACCTGAGGTACCACTGTATATCATTAACTCGCTTGTGTCCTTTCTACTCTTGTGTTTTGCACATTTGACATGTTCTGGAAATAAGCGGTGGCTTATAGGTAATGCAAATAAATAATATTTGTTTATTTATTATTCCCCCTCCCTCAGAAGTGCCCGTGGTGATGCACATGTAATGTTGGAAGTGCCAGTGTTCTAAAGGTTAATTAGCCACTACAGGGAAGATCCATCTGTGGTTTCGAGCATCCATAGGGATTTAGCATGAAAAGGACATTGCAGATATTGCAGCATCTCCCCCCCCCCCAATTCTTTAAGCATTGCAAGCAAAGGGTGTGTAAAATAGCCACAGCGACTTTCGCAGCAGCGGCAACATTTTTTTAAATTTGTATGCCGCCTTTCCATACTAAGCCATGCTCAAGGTGGCTTAAGTAGGAGATGTTAAGTCAACTCCCCTCCCCACTAAATTTATTCTTCAAATCTGTAGCTGGAAACAGTTGGTGTGGCATTATCTTTCAGACATCTGCCTCTCTGCCTTCCTAACTATCAAACAATGAAATTAAGTTACCCGCGTGTGAAATGCTACCAAGAGCCTGAAGCAATAGTTCTGCAAATAGTGAACTCCATGCACTCAGTAATATCTCATCCAGTTTTGATTTAAATTCCATTATGTTTGCCGTCTTAAACACTAGGGTGTGTTTTTTTAATGCTGTGTGAGCCTGAATTTCTATATCCACATGTAACATTGAGCCAAGAAACTTGGCTTGGTAGACCATAATATGTATGGGATGTGTGCTAGTGGACTTTACGGCTTTACTGCAATCCTGGGTTGAACCCATAACATAAAGCTATCTGCTTCCTGGTTTATTTAGGCTATTACTGAGCTTGTGGCAAAAGCAGGATTTGAACCTGCTGAAACTGTTAGCTACTGCACTTCACTACATTTAACTTAAATTTATTTTTCTTCTTCACTGGCTATAACAGCTAATACAACTCCCCTTGCATTTTTTTTTCTTTTTAAATAATCCCAAATGTCCATAAAGGTTACATCTTTTATTTTACATCATTTTTTTTTAAGCCCAGCCATTCTATTTCATCATCCAAAGCCAAAGCAAAAAATAAACAAATGCAAATAACAAAAAATGGGTGAGAATTTTGAAAAAGCATAGGATGTTCAAAATGCTGAAACAGCTCTTTGTGCAGCAGCGTTAATGCCATGATTTCCTTGATATTGTCTCTTTAAATGCAATCTTCTTCTGCAAGCGCAAGGATTGTTGTGACTGGCTTTCCGTAGACACTTCTGCCAACTGCTTCCCTTATTTGTGTGTGATATTTTAAGCCTATCCTCCACAGCTGATATTCCTGTGCTGCTGGCCTTCTAAATTCAACTGATACCTGTTGGCCTCAATTGTATGTTTCCAAAAATACTTTACAGACTCGGTCATAAAAAAAGAATTTATCCTAGAATAATGGCTGGATGGAAGCAGAATAGATTCAGTGCACCTTCGTAAGGAAAACCAGGCAAGGAGCATCGAGTGACTGGGGCTGTCTGTGTGAATGTTTTCTAACTCTCTCTTTCTGCTCTGTTTTTCCATGCTTTTCCGGGATTCAGAGAGAGGTAAATTGTTTTTCTCTATTCTGTTTTCTTCCTGTCTTTCATCACCAGCATTAGCTGTTGTTGCCTTGCAAATCCATACTTCTGACGCAAATGTGTTTCTTGCCTTTAGAACTGTAATCAAGTAAGTTCCCCTTTTGCCTTGTCAAATGGCAGTTCTCCAACCCCTTTAGATAGATGCATTTTAGAAGCCAACTCAAATGTTATCCAAAAGAAAAATATTAAAACACCCATCTCCAAGGTGGGGGAAAGGATTTTCCATTCAGTCTGGTTTTGTTTGCATGATCCTAGATAGTCAGTCCCAATGCTGAATCTAGCTGAATCTTAACAGAACTATATTTTTTAAAACCCCATTAAATTACACTCCTAGGCTGTAGACCTGGGAAGAACATAGGTGCCTGCCTCACTCCTGTTAAACAGGTATTCTTCCAGTGAGCCTGAATTCCTGATCTGTCTCTAGAAGGAATGTTTAGGCTCCTTCAGATATCTCATGCTCCTTTTAAAAAAAGAAATATGGTTCTGGGCTGGGTCTTAAAACAAGGATTGCCCTCCTAAAACCTGCCTGCTATGCCTCAGAAGGGTCATTCAACATTTCTTTGGGAATCAGACTTTATCATTTCCTTTATAACCTTGCAGGCTGCTGGAAACGAGCAAGACTTTGCAATTTGTGAACATTCAAGTCATTTCCACATATTACCTTTTTTCCCCAGACACAAAGATTAAACTTATAATCAAGAGACAGAGAAGTAGCATGAGATACAATGAGAGCAAAAGAAATGTTAAATTTGCCACAGTGTATGTATCACAAACCCTGTTGCTTGTCTTTTTCCATTATTCTTAAAAGGCCACAGATTTGCATTAGGAAAGGATAGAGAGTTTGGACAAGTGGGAACTGCAACAAAATGTTGCAGCATGGAGCCTGTGTGTTCAAGATACTCCGTTCCCTTCCTCCTCCTCCTACCTGGTTTTCCATTTCCTGCTGATACCTCCCTCTTGTGCCTGGATGGTCTTTTGCAAACCTGCTGTTAGCACTGCTTAGAAATAGTGATGCTTTTATCCCATGCTTATTGAATTTAGGTGAATATCTTTTTGCTAGTTTATTCAGTCTGTGAAGGGGTGGGTGGCCTGGCTAGGCCTAAATGGCCTCTCTGATCCCTTTCGTCTCTGCAGTCCACCTTTCAATTATTCTAAATTTCCAGAGCCCATTGTATGTGTTACAGGGCTGGTCAGAAGGATTATTCAAGAGAAGTCTGAGGTTGTATTCTTCACAGAGCTCAGTACTTTTAAAAGTCACTGGCTTTGATAGCATCAGGGAGTTCTTCTCTTCAAAGCTAAAGCTCTGTGAGCCACAACAGTACAATCTTCTTACAATGCCCTGGAGGGAGCAATGCCAGGGGGATAAGATAGCGGTTTTCCTGAGTATTTATATTTCATGGACTTTATGGAAGAACTGAAAATCCACTGTTTTGCTTAAGGTGGAAAAGAATGGTAGCGCTGAAATTCTGAAAGACAGATCAGCAAGCCGAGATCTGACAGAATTCCACAAGACAATGGATAATTCAGGCTGAAGGCTAACGTTTGATAGGAAGACATTGTTCTCTGTGTGATTTGTTTTAATCTGCACCAGAACACTGACTGTCCAGGGCATGCTTACTTGAGTGTCAACTTTTGCAGAATCAGTCTAACTTAACGCACAAAATAGTTAATTAGCTTTTATTTAACCATGAATTACAACTCAACTGGTGTGCTGATGAGGTTAGAGAAATAGCATACAGAAATGATGTAAAAAGATAAGCAGTGAAATGAGTGAAATTGCCGCTTACTGGAATATGTTGGCTGTGTGTGTTGCGCTCTTGAGGGCATCTAATTTTCCTCAGATCAAGCAAGTTTCTCATGAGAGGAAGGAAGTGTCTGTGTGGCCAACATGGAAACTAGTGTATGTCCATGAATTAATGACCCAACTTACAAGGGACAGGGCCCTTTGCACCTCTCAAAACACAGTTGCCTGACAATTCAGGGTTTCTCTATGCAGCATTTACTTCTACAGTATACCGTATTTTTCGCTCTATAAGACGCACCAGACCACAAGACGCACCTAGTTTTTGGAGGAGGAAAACAAGAAAAAAAAAAATTCTGAATCTCAGAAGCCAGAACAGCAAGAGGGATCACTGTGCAGTGAAAGCAGCAACCCCTCTTGCTGTTCTGGCTTCTGGGATAGCTGCGCAGCCTGCATTCACTCCATAAGAGGCACACACATTTCCCCTTACTTTTTAGGAGGGAAAAAGTGAGTCTCTGAACCAAACCCACCAACTGTTGTTGATGAAAAGTAGGAGGGCCCTGGAGAAAATGAGCCCCTCGCTGAATAACTACAGGGTTGGTACTTATGTTGCCAATCTCACAGGTCAGGTACTAGGGCCAACTGTGGGTTTGGGTTTTTTTAAGTGTCTAATACAGTGGTACCTTGGTTCTCAAACTTAATCCGTTCTAGAAGTCCATTCCAAATCCAAGGCGCGCTTTCCCATAGAAAGTAATGCAAAATGGATTAATCCGTTCCAGACATTTAAAAGCAACTCCTAAAACAGCAATTTAACATGAATTTTACTATTTAACAAGACCATTGATCCATAAAGTGAAAGCAATAAAACAATGTACTGCAGTCACACAATTAATCAATCAGTAGCTGAACTGGGTTCCACACAGTCACAAAAGCAAAACAGAAAAAAGCCACAAAAATCGCAAAATAAATAGCAAAAACAGACAGACCTCAGCATAACCCTCAAATCGGAAGCGTAACACTCAAAACGGAAGTGTGGCACTCAAAATGGAGCACGTTTGGCTTCCGCAAAAAATTCGCAAACCGGAACACTTACTTCCGGGTTTGCAGTGTTTGGGTTTCAAGTTTCGCGGTAGTTCATTTGTACACTATACACTTACCTTGTCTGAATCCACTCTGAAGCTCATTGGCCACTCCAAGAATAACCTTTAAATCTACACGTCATTTTTCTTTGGAGTGTACTGGTAGACAGAAAAATATTTGACAGGAAGAATTCTTAGCACGGTTAGCTTATTGTCGTTGGTTATGAATGAATTCTTCAAGCAAATGGATTTGTGACATGTTAATGCTAAACAACAATCGACAACAAACAACAATGAAAAAGAAGAGTGGGACTGAATCTCCAAAGGCAATTTAAACGCCACATGTGAAAACAGTCATTGTTTGCAAGACAGTGGATCAATTGAGAACGCAGGAGCAGGGAATGGCTGCACCCTTGGGAAGCTTCCTATGTGCAATGTTTTAAAGGCTTATAAAAGTGGGACTTCTTGCTGCAACCCTAAGCATGAATTTGTGGCTGCAGCCCCTTCATTTTTCTAATAATAGAAATTCTTTCAGGCTGCATTTAATCTCAAGGGGCATTAGTATAATGACTAGCCTCGTTCATACCAGGCAGTGGTCACATAAATTTTGTTTTATGTCACTACATAACCATCATTGCATGGTTAAATGATGCTTAACTGGGTGTTAAATAAGCACGGCCATCCAATTAGTCCCAAAGAATAACCATTTAAAAGAATTAAAGTAAAATAATGGAGTACCTCTCCCCTCCCCCCATATTTGTTCTATTTCATCATTTTTCTTTCAGTTGAAGGGGTTATTTTTCTCCCCTGGCCACCTTGTTCTGTAATAAGCTGACCAGAGTACCTTAAATTAAAAGGATTATTTTGTGCTTGGGCTAATCAACAAAGCCACAGCCTTGCATACCATAACATGTAATTGATTCTCTCCCCTCTAGCCCTGCCAAGAAATCTCCCTTGTTTTCCAGATTTGGTTCAGAATAACAGCTCAGTCTAGTTTTAGCTGATAATTGCCGTTACTACCAGGCAGAGTGTATGCATAAAGAATTAATATTTTGGTGAACGGCTGTTTCTGCATAAAACAGTACGTGGCAGGTGTTGGAAAACTATGCTCAGGGGCCTCGTTTGGCAACCGTTTTTAATAGGGGGCATATTTTGCATTGAGCAATGTTGAGAGAGCAGCCATGTTGACTCCACCTGTTAACTTGTTCCTGAACCAGGCGAAACAAATAGACAATGGTTTCTTCTAAAGAGCAAAATAGGTTCCCTCAGTCACAGCTGTGTCCCTTTTGTCCGGACTCCAAAGCTCCTTCATGTGGCGCTCAGTTGCCTATCTAGCTGCTGAGGGTGCAATAACTGCATCCCCTCTCTTTCCGGGCACTCCTAGTTGCGATTTAAAGAAATGAAGAAGGCGGAAGGCTCACCAAATTCAACACACAAACCCAAAGGGCAACTACCTCCCAGCTAGAGGGAGAATCAATGGGCCTGACTTAGGAAGAGCATAACCAGCAAAAAGGGATCGTAAGAAAAGCGAAGCGAGGGCTCTACCATGTAGCCTTGGGGCTGGTCTGAGTTTACAATTTGAAGCAAACAAAAGTAGTTGTACAGGAATGTAAGTTCTAAGCAGCATGGCTTACAACTTTTGTCACACTTGCAGCGCCTATTGTTTCCTCTGTGGCCTCCTCTCAGCACAGAACCGCATCCTTCTGTCCTGTGCCCTTTAGCAGATCTTGCCGAGCTCACTGCAGCCATTTCATTTCTCTCCTCAGCCTCTACACAGTGAACAACCCCCCCCCCAAAAAAAGACCCAACCCAAAATACAGTGGTACCTTGGTTTACAAATTTAATCCATTCCGGAATCCATTCTTAAACCAAGGCATTCTTAAACCAAGGTGTGTTCTCCCAAAGCAGTGGGGGACTCAATTTACAAATGGAACACACTCAACAGGAAGCGAAACATGTTCATATTCCAAGGCAAAGTTCACAAACCAAAACACCTACTTCCGGGTTTGCAGCATTCTTAATCCAAGCTGCTCATAAACTAAGCTGTTCTTAAACCAAGGTACCACTGTAATAACTTAGGTGCATTAGGCCAGGGTTTACCTAGTCTTAACATACTACCATATTGTTTATCCTCTGCATCAAAGAAAGCCAGTTGTACTTCTTTTTGTCACAGCTTTTTGCTGAGAGTGGGGACTATCAAGTATAGGAATCCATCAAAAGGGGAGTGAATACTGGGTCCATGTTAAAGAATTTCTAGATTCAGCTGTGACCTAGCTGGACCTTTACACAGTTTTTTGCCTCTAGGACTTCCATAATCCATAATCTGACATTTTCATTGCCCCTGCCCCTCACTCCCTACTGAAGTACTGTTGTGGTGAATCTTTATTTGTCAGCTCAAGGAGCCATAATTCTCCCCCTCCCAATTCTACCTTCACAACAACCCTGTGAGGGAGGTTAGGCTAAGAGACAGCCACTGGCCCAAGATTGCTCAGTGAACTTCCCAGCTGGTTTCACCAGTACACCACACTAGCTCTCATAGCATTGGACTGGGGAGACTGGTATTCAAAAGCCTGAAAGTTCTTTGTGTGACTAGGAACCAGTCACTTCCTCTCAGCTTAATCTCACCTTGGGGCAGTTGCGAGGATAAAATGGAATATATGCACGCATGCCACCTCGGCGAGAGCCAAATGCAAAAAGGTTTCTGATCTCCCTGCCTTACAAAGAACTGTCGTGATGCAGACGTCTTAAGTTTCCCAGCATGGAGCTGGGAAGCCTGTAAATTCCTTAGTAAATCAGGTAAACAGTTTGCCCATAAATCTCTCCTCGTATTAATCCGTTTGAAATGAGCTAATGCAGAATTGAGGTTAACAGAGCAAATGACCCAGAAAGGATTCCACAGTAAGAGAGATAGATAAGAAAGCCAAGATGAAGGGCTCCGGTGATGTATTCAATATTGAACACTTCTGTATCTGCAGAGACCGTAACCTTTCCCCCTCCCTGGCCTTTGTGCAAGAGATTAGCATTGTCATGAATGCTCAAGGTCACCGTACCTTGGTGGCAGTACAGGGAAGGGGTGAATTGTTGCTACAGAATGGCTTACATGGGAGGAAAGTGTTTCAGGCTTAGCAGCTTTCGAACCTGTCTCATTCTCTCCAGCAGCCTTTAAACAGAACCTCTGCTCCAGGGGAGTGCCCTTGCAAACTGCGCTACGGATTTTCCTGAGCTCCCTATCTGATAGGATTAAATATTGAAGTCGCCCTATCATTTGGACCTTGCCGGAAGGAAGGATCCACATTGGATTGCTAATGCTGATGGATAATTTTGCAGCAGATGGTTGCCGGTCCCTTCCACCCTCCTCCCTCCCATTCCCAGTGATACCTGCTGATGGCATTTCTTTGCTTGTGGTGACAGCTTTGCCCCCTTTGTGGTATCATGGCATGTATAGAAAGCTGCACTTCTTATAGCCTTTAGCTCCTCCGTGGGGACTTCTAAGGAAGAGAATTGAGGCAGTGTGATCATTTCAGAGTAGCAGGGAGCAAACAGTGTCTCCCTAAGCAGATTCTCAGCAAAGGTTAAAGGCCTGGTCTTGGATATGTTCAAGATCAAGTGACCAAAAAACGCAGTCTCCATTAAGAGCATTTGTTGTGGTTACTTTTCATCTGTATTAAGAGCATCTGATGTGGTTATTATAACACGGTTATCAGTACATTCCAAACCTTTTTTTTTTAATCATAGGAATCTGCCTTATAGCAAGTGAGGCCCTTGAGTTAAGTATTGTTGACTCATTGGCAAGAGCTCCCAAGTCTTTTCAGGCCCGTGTTCTTGCCAGCACTCCCTGCGGACACCAAAGGTTGAACCTGAAACCTTCTGCACGGAGAGCATGTGCTCTGCTCCTGCGACAAAGGGAATTGTGCTTTGGAATCCCTCACTAGGACGCAGGCCCATTTAATTGTTTTTATGGCGATAGCTAAGGCATGTGGGTGGCGCTGTGGGTTAAACCACAGAGCCTAGGACTTGCCGATCAGAAGGTCAGCGGTTCGAATCCCCGCAACGGGGTGAGCTCCCGTTGCTCAGTCCCTGCTCTTGCCAACCTAGCAGTTTGAAAGCACGTCAGAGTGCAAGTAGATAAATAGGTACCGCTCTGGCGGGAAGGTAAACGGTGTTTCCATGCGCTGCTCGGTTCGCCAGAAGTGGCTTAGTCATGCTGGCCACATGACTCGGAAGCTGTACGCTGGCTCCCTCTGCCAGTAAAGCGAGATGAGTGCCGCAACTCCAGAGTTGGCCACAACTGGACCTAATGGTCAGGGGTTCCTTTACCTTTATGGCGATAGCTACTAAGTATGTGGAACGAGTAAGTTCTGACCATTCAGTTGTCATCTTTAAGAACATAAGAATAGCTTTCTGGATCAGGACAATGGTCCTGTCTTGACAGTGGCCACCAGGAACCTTTGGGGAACCTGCAAGCAGAATGCAAACATGAGACCACAATCCTCTCCTGTGGTTTTCATTCAGAATCTGGAGGCAAGAGCATAGCCGTCGTGATCTTTGTTCCTCTGTGTTCTTTTTGAAGCAGGTATTTCTGTGGGTGATACTGCTTTGAATAAGGTAATTAATTTTGTTTGTACAGAGATTTTGCCTATGTAGCAAGAGACCGAGAGACGAGGATTTTGAAGTGCCACGTGTTTCGATGTGACACGCCAGCAAAAGCCATTGCCACAAGCCTGCACGAAATCTGTTCTAAGGCAAGCTTTCTTCTTGTTGTTTTCATTCTATCCTCTCCCCTTTCCTGTGTGAACATACCCCCATACAACACCCCCGAGCGTGTTACATGAAGTCTCCCTGATTCCAGGGCAATCTATTTCTGTGCCATTTAAGAGTATAGGTCCAAACCAAAGCTTCCACACAAACAATTGCCTGGCATACATTTCTGTGCAGGAGAAACTGCTTCTAAAGATAATGTTTAGCAGCAGAGGAAAGAGGGCTCAACACATTCTAGGGCTGACCTGTTGACAGTATCCTATGGGAGGCTATGGAAAGAAATGGCCCTGCCTTGCCCCCATAAGGTGTGTAGCGTTTTATCAACACCGCTAGCTCAGAGGGGAGACATAAAAGGTCTTACGATGGTACGTGAAGTGCCTATAGCCTTCGTCCTTATCACTGCTTACGCTGCGGACAAGATCTCCATACTCAATTGTTCTGCCCCCAAAGGTCATGGGGGTTGTTACAGAGTACCAGGTTGCAAATAACTTTTATATATTAAGCTTTTTAATGTGGCGCATTTGGTAAAGGTAGCGAAAACCTCCCATCCCTGTAAAGTTTTCCACCACCTCCATCAATATTTGCACTGCAGGTTGTCAAACATGCCTCTTTAAATTTAAATGCAGGCAGCCCAATCCTTTTGGGAAAGAAACCCCAACGAGTTCAATGAGGCTTACTCCCAAGTAGGTGTGCATAAGATTGTAGCCGTAGTTCCTTAACCCATCTGAGTTACGGTGAAAAAGAGAAACACTCCTTTTTAAGGGATTTCAGGATTAAGATTGTACGACGAGATCTATGGATGAAGGGCGGTCTACAAATTTAATAAATAATAATCGTAATAGTATGATCACTGTCTTCTCCAGATTATGGCTGAACGGAAGAATGCCAAAGCTGTGGCTTGCAGTTCGTTACAAGAGCGGACAAACGTCACCCTGGATGTTCCCTTGCAAGGTACTGTGTGACTGGGATGTTGTCTTCACTATGTAGTCTCAAACAGGTGACTTATTAATTAAATACTAATAAATAACCACTTTTTTAAAAAAAATTAAAAAGAATTTTCACAGCGTGTTTCCAGAAGGGTAATGTTAAGTCTGTTGAAGCATGAGCGTAGGTCAAAAGAACTTCCTTGGTCTTTAAGATGCCACAAGACTCTTGGGTTGTTGCTCTGGCTTTATTTGGAGCAGGCAAGATCTGCTAAACAGATTTGTCTGTTTTTACTTTACAAGAATAAAAGATGATGTACTTTTAAAAAAAAATTCCCCAGAAATTACTCTGGCTCATTTTTAATGTGCGATAGTACGTAGAAGGAGTACAGATTTATTAGAATCGATAATGATATCCCTAACTGATCGACTACCTGATAAATTATTTTATTCTGCCCTTGAAATAAGGATATTTTGCCTGATGTGAATTTTGATAAGTTGAAATTGATTTTTTTGTTCCCATGCAGTAGATTTCCCAACACCAAAGACTGAGCTGGTCCAGAAGTTCCATGTACAGTACTTGGGCATGTTACCTGTAGCTAAGCCAGTGGGTAGGTTGAATCTTTGTCCATTACTCCCTTAATCTTTGCTCTTTAGCATCTGAGCGCTCTGTTCTTCATTGACGGAGGATTAAAATAGGTGATGGATACACGTCTCAATTTCTCCAAACTTTCAGTGTGCATACTTTGGGTGTTATGGTTATTCAGCTCTGTTAGCGATATTAACTGTGGGGCCAGACAGTGACAGTTATATTCCAAATTAATTATGTGGCAGTTGGGATGTGATCCAGCTTCTACTAGATTAGGGGTTACTGCAGAGATGTGCATGGCATGAAAGATAAAATGGAATAATTTCAATTTGCTTGTCAAATGTGAAATAACATGGTCAAAATGTTAATATGTGAATCTGAACTTATTGCTTATTAATTCATATGCCACTTAGATGTTTGTACAGAGCTTCGAATTGATATTTCTCAAAAGAGCTGACCTCACCCAATACAGAATGGCAAAGCCCTTTTGACTGTAAAACGTGGCTTGGGGTATGGCATGCGGGTGCCCGCTTTTCCAAGAGAGAAAGAAAAGTCCAAACCTGTTAGTTGTGCCAAAACGCTTGGACACAGCTGAAGTGGCTCTTCGGAGCCCGGCCAGTTCCATGTTTTGCAAGTCTGTTCCATCCTAAATACAGTGGTACCTCGGGTTAAGTACTTAATTTGTTCCGGAGGTCCGTTCTTAACCTGGAACTGTTCTTAACCTGAAGCACCACTTTAGCTAGTGCGGCCTGCCGCCGTGCCGCCAGAGCACAATTTCTGTTCTCATCCTGGAGCAAAGTTCTTAACCCGAGGTACTATTTCTGGGTTAGCGGAGTCTGTAACCTGAAGCGTATGTAACCCGAGGTACCACTGCACTGAAAAAGTGAAGAATGGACCATGTTGATTCCCAGTGATGGCTTACGAGAGAGGAATGAAGGCAGGGGCAGACTTTGGTCGTGTTGGTGCTCCAAGCAAGGCCACAATTTGGCGCCCCACAAATGAATCTTCTCAGTGGCGGATCTTTTCCATTTTGCGCTCCCTCAACCCAGTGCTTTGTGCTGGCATTGGCAGAGGTACTGGCGTACTCCCGGCAGGTGTGGCATCCTTATTGGGACAGGGATGTGGCTAGGCAAGGAAAAGGGGGGGTTCAAGAGAGCTCTGGGTTGGTGGCAGCCCTGCATGTGCGCACATACCTGTGAGGCAACCGCTTCGCCCTTCCCATCCCCACAAACACAGTGCCGCCGCCACCAAGGGAGCACCACTTCATCTGCCCCCCCCCGGCCAGCCACCACCACTGCTTCCCCTTCTTTCTACATTAGTGGCCAAAACTGTGGAAACCTTTTGGAAAAAGTGTATTTCTGTTTTTTTTGGGGGGGGGTTTTAAAAAAATTGGTTTCCACATTTATCTCATGGGGGGGAGGAAAACATTACAAAACACACAAGAAAATAAAAAAGAAAAGGGGGGTGGGATAAAAACACAAAACAGAATTCTTACTTCAAATCTCTAATTCTCGTTACATTGATAACTGACTTCCTCAAATCCCCGCTTACTGAATTTCATTATAACCCCTGTATAGCAGTTCTCCAAATTCATATTTCTAATAATATTCACTCCTTTCATTTACTGTATTTTTCGCCCTATAGGACGCACTTTTTCCCCTCCAAAAATGAAGGGGAAATGTGTGTGCGTCCTATGGGGTGAATGCAGGCTTTCACTGAAGCCTGGAGAGTGAGAGGGGTTGGTGCGCACCGACCCCTCTCGCTCTCCAGGCTTCAGGAAGCTCTCCGCAAGCCTTGGGAGCTCCGTGGGAGTTCCCGTCGGGCTCCCAAGGCTTGCGGATAGCAGCCTGCATCCCGAAGCCTTCCCACTGTTCCCCTACCTGGTTTGGAGGCTGGCGCTGGGGAGAAGCACACCAGCTGTCTCCCGAGCTTGTGGGGCTGCCCGATATCTTCATGAAGCCCGGGGCGCGCTGTGCAGCACACCCCAGGCTTCGGGATGGAGGCTGCTATCTGCAAGCCTTGGGAGCCCGACGGGAACTCCCGCGGAGCTCCCAAGGCTTGCGGAGAGCTTCCTGAAGCCTGGAGAGCGAGAGGGGTCGGTGCGCACCTGGTTCCCCGACCTGGTTTTGGGGGGGAAATAAAGGGGAGGGGGATTTCCTTTATTCCCCCCCAAAAAAAACTAGGTGCGTCCTATGGGTCGGTGCGCCCTATGGGACGAAAAATACGGTACTATCCTCATCTCTTTTATTAATATTCAAATCCTTAATTTTTACTACCACCTATTCCTATTCTGCCCCTAAGCCTATTTGTTACTTCCAAGAATTTTCTAATTATCTTATATCACAATATTTAGCTAAATATTCTTTAAATTTCTTCCAATCCTCTTGTGTCTCCTCTTCCTTCTGATCATGGATTCTTCCAGTCAGGGCGGCCAGTTCCAAAAAATCCAAACATCTTCATCTGCCAATCTTCTATTGTTGGTATTTCTTGCGATTTCCAATTTTTGGCTAATAAAAAGTGTATTTCTGACGTTTGATGGCTCATAACACCACTTTTTTTGGAGTAATACCATAAAATTATGTATCAATAGAAAGATAATTTAATGAAGAATTTAATGCAGCAAAGTTTGTTCAGTTATCTGTATTCTATCAAAAGTTATAGCCAAATAACCAGAAAAAGGTAGCACAACTTGCTTCAGTTGATATGCCGTAGCTTTCCTTCATTTGAATATAGCCAATGAGCATGAGTGTTTAGAGAGCCAATCAGGTGCTATGAGCCATCAAACCTCGGAAACACACTTTTCCCAAAAGGTTTCCACAGTTTTGGCCACTAGTGTATATCAGCGTATAAATGAAGGAATGAAACAGCTGCTTCAGCTCAGATTCCTACATCTTTGTTGGCAGCTTCTCTTGGACACCCCTATATTTTATAACTTTTATTAGCATGCCTAGTCTACCCTTCCTCAGGGTAGCATATATGGGTTTCATCTCATTTTATTCTCCCAGAAAACACCCACACCCCCAATGTGAGTCAGGCTGGGAGTTTGTGCCCCAAAACCACAGTGAGAAGAGAAGAAAAATAAAAAGGACGTCCGATTTTACATCTGTCAGTTACATAGAAGACATTATTCAAAATATTCACTCCAGAGTGACACTCAACTGTTCCACTTTCTACTAGGCAATATTTTCTCAATCTTCTGACCTACATAGATTAATTCATTTTCCTTTTAACGCAAAAAAAGTCCAAAAGGGGTAATAATAATAATAATAATAATAATATATGTCAGCAATAGTTTTTCTCTGTCAAACGTAATTTTTCTTCTATTTTCTGGGTCTTCCTTTGGTGTTTTCTCTTTCTTTCCCTGTTTTTGTTTTTATTTAGATTCGTTCAGTGCTTTTTTTTTCTTTAATTTTTTGCAGGGGGGACTCTGATTTTCCTACTCATATTGAAATACTGCCCTTCAATGAGGCCAAACCTAGATTCATAAAATGTTTAGGGGTATGCGTACCTCTGCATCCCCCCAGAAAAACTGGATTTGTTTCTTTTATCTTACTGTGTCATGAAAAATCTTACTTTAAAACAAACACACACCCCATGAGCTTAATGCCTGATATTCTTCCTGCCATAAAACACTGACTCTCCGTTAGTGATCTTGTCTCTGTTGCTCTGCAACTGCAGGTATGGACACCCTGAATGCCGCTATAGAAAGCCTCATTGACTCCTCCAGCCGAGACGACTGGGTGCCTGTCACCATGAATGTCGCAGATGCTACAGTGACAGTCATCAGCGAAGGGGTAAGGCACAACCTGGCCTCTCTAAAAACCAGAAATGCTTCATATGTAGTTGATACTAGAATGTGTGGCTTCTTATTTAGCCAGTGCTTTGTTTTCCTCAAACTTTCCTTTTAGTCGATTTTATTTGAGATAAATAGAAGCCGCCATATGCACTGCCAGAGCAAATTTGGCAACCGTTGATGGTATGCATGGCATTTTAAAGATATTCATTTCTGCCATATGTTGCTATTTTCTCCTGTAAAAATAACAAAACTACCAGCTTAATAAACAGAGAAGAAAACCCACTTGCCTAAGATTTTACGGGAAATATAATGTCTAATATAGATCTCAGTCATGATCTAACAGTTCAGTGAACTTAACCCTCACGCACCAGCTTTTTGGATAATATTAATCTGATGTTGGAGTCCAGTGAATCCCTTTAGAGCCCTAGCTAGAAATACAGTCCCTGTCTGTTTTCAAGAATGACTGCCGTCTAACATAGAAAAATGGATTTTATTAATATTCCATTCCAAGGTACATTATACCCCACAATATTAACCTAAATTCCTTATTGGACTATCAGAAATCCCTGGAGAAGAAAACAGATGAGGTGTTATATGTATAATACTGGCCTCATAACCGAAGAGCGAGCAAATCAGAAACAAACAAAAAATGGCTAGACTAAATACTGGACTGATGGTAAAAATATATACAGTGGAACCTCTACTCATGACCACAATCCGTTACGGAGACCTGTCCTTATGGCAAAATGGGTTGCTGGGAGAGGCGCCGTTGTGCGCATGCGCGGGCGGCGATTGCCCATTACTGCGCATGCGCAAACAGCAATCACCGCTCCTGCACATGTGCGAACAGCGGCAAACCCGCTGGTTACTTCCGGGTTTGCCGTGGTCGCAACTTGGAGCATTCACGAGTGGAGGCGGTTGTAAGTAGAAGTTCTACTGTATATATACAGTGGGTCCAACATACCCCAATAGCCTAATAAGGTTTTGTTTTGGTTTTTCAAAGGAACGTTACCAACAAGAAATCAGTGTATCAGGTTTGCACTATGAGATGGATTAACCTTACTGGGTTAAAATTTACTCATTGAGTCCAATGCTTCCCTGCAGTGCTTTGTAATAGGGTGACTGCTGCTGCTGCTGCTGCTGCTGCTGTTGTTGTTGTTGTTGTCATTTACAGTCACCTTCTAAACAACCATCTCAAGGCGATATATGCACAGAAATGTACATGGACATAGAGCAGAGATCTCCTCTAGTCCCCTTGAAATGGTATAGCCATAAAAAACATGGAATTAATAATATGGGCAAGATGCTTGGGTATTTTTCTACCCTGCTTTGAGAAGTTGATGGGCACAGAATGAACCCCAGGTAGTTTAGGACAATAAGTAACCTCTAGTTTTTGGTTAATGCCCCTCAAATTAATTTCTTGCATATCTGCATACTGATTTAAGGTGATTTTTTTTTAATAAAAGAGAGGAGTTGTTGTTTATTAAGATGCTTGGCAAGCTTTAAAAAATAAATATGAAAGAATGTTATCATTGTGTGTGAAACTGCATGACCCTGTATGCCTATTTGCAAATCAGCCTCCAAACTCGGGATGCTGTGACAGTTAGTGCATTTTGGAAGGTTACACCAGGTTTGTTCCTTGGTCCATAACTGGTGACCTTCCAAGAATCAGAGCTTCCAGCGCTCAGACTAATAATTGTTTCTTCAGTGCTACCTCTGAAACTTTTATTTGTAGTAACATGAATTCTTCCTTCCTAACTAGAATGAAGAGGAAATTGTGGTGGAATGTCGTGTACGGTTCTTGTCTTTTATGGGAGTGGGCAAAGATATCCATACGTTTGCCTTCATAATGGATACGGGGAACCAGCATTTTGAGTGCCACGTTTTCTGGTGTGAGCCCAATGCAGGCAACGTATCAGAAGCCGTCCAGGCGGCTTGTATGGTAAGTGACCACAGAAAACTGTAGTACAATTTGTAGAATTATTAGAAAATTAAAATAAACCAGTACACGAAATCCCCCTCAGATATTATTTTGTAGTATTTAGCATGAACGCAAAATGACAGGAAAACAATATTTCTATTCATTTTTCAGAGCGCCCTGATAAATTACAATTCTCTCCCCAGTTCTGCGCTCGGATCTTAACATTTAACACCATGATTCTAAATATTAGTGTCAGCTCTCTCCCCCTCCTCTGCTGTAATGCTATTAGCAGTCAATATTGTGAACTGTTACGTGCACAGACTGAAAACCAGATAAGTAGCATAAAGCATCAGAGTCGAGGAAACAAGCGCCAGCCTTTTGCAAGAGAACAATGTGTCTTTATAGAAAGGAGACAATGGGAAGAACAAATTGTAAGATTGATGAGAATAACCAGAGTTCCCTGCTTCTGTGGTATTATTCAGCATCTGCTTCCAGAGGGTTTAGTGGGTACCATCCTTCAAAATTGTCATCCGTTCCCTTGGGCTAATAGAGAAAATACTAGCACTAACCTGAGCAACTTCTGGCAATCAGAACACAATAACGTTCAATCCCAGCCACTACCATCAAATTATATTCTTTTAGATTTAGAGGTGGAAGACTTAAGACAAATCTGCCAACATGGTGAGTTGTTACTCCTTGTATTAGAAAGGACGGTTGTGTATCCAATATCTTAATGATGCGTTGTCCCCGCTAACATGTAATAATTGTGCAGAGAATGTAAGAAACTGCCAAGGATCTACGAGTGCCATGTCTAAGGGCAGATTTGCAAAACTTGTGACGAACCAATCCCATGCAGGTAGCAAAATTAGGAGGTTGATGAACCACCATACATAGTTGTTGCTTTTAAATTTACCATACATAGCTTGATGGGTCGCATTTAAGCTTGATGGGTCATGATATGTGTGTGTCTTGCCTACTCAGAAGCAAATCCTAAATGATGTTGCAGAACATAGTGAGGAAAGCTCAAGGTACTGAGCCTTGCTAATGATTGCAGAACATCTTTGCTTTCTTTCAGTTACGATACCAGAAGTGCTTGGTAGCCAGACCTCCTTCACAAAAAGTCCGGCCGCCTCCTCCTCCTGCAGACTCGATGACCAGAAGAGTCACGACTAATGTAAAACGGGGGATGTTGTCCCTCATTGACACTTTGAAACAGAAACGTCCCGTTACGGACACGCCATAGCAGCCCTGCAGGAAAAGAAATGGTTTCTCAGAAAACATCTAGCAGAAGATACAGTAGCCACGTTAAAGAAGATGAACTGATTTTTGGCCTTCCAGTTTAAATTGGTGATGCTTTGTCTTCAGAGAATTTACCCTTATCAAATAATATTAGACAAAAGCATGTTCTCTCGTTCTTGCCACCATCATGTGATATGAAAAGAAGCATGAGTAATTTTTTTGCTGTGAGGTTTCACACCATGAAGTGGAAGGTCTGTTTTCCAACTGTGTAAATATTATGAACGTTACTTAAATTCACACATACACCAGAAAGGATTATGGCACATTGCTCTTCGGAGAGAACCATGCCCAAATTGATATTCATCCCCATCCTGGTTGGGATTTGTCACAAGCAGTCCTTGTATCCTGCAGCACTTTGTCCTCATTTTTAACACTGAAGTACATACCAAGTATTAGTTACCATTGTATTATTGTAATATGAATATTGAGCTGCTTTTTTAAAAAAGAAACTGCATTCATTAACCAATCTTCCATCTTGTGCACCCTAGTAACCATTTTTCATCTTCTGTCGGCCAGTTGGGTTTGCTTCAACACGACAGTTTCCTATGCAGATTGCAGTTTGATTGGAAGGAGCGTGCAAACGATATTATAATTGTGACAATCACATGTGTATCGGTTTCAGTGACATGCCGGTGCTGGGAATGACCCTTTCCCAGGCATATGTATGCACAAGAAAATAGATGTGCTCTATTGTCGCATGGTATTAACTACATTTGGTTTGCATGCTTTTTTCTCGTAAAGAAGCACTGCCCCCGTAGCAGATCATCACCTTTGAAATGCCCTTCAGTTCTGAAATCGAGCTTGTCATTTAGGAGTTCAGAGAGCAGTCCGGGAGGATATGCTGGGATTTTTGTTTCAAAACATAAATTGCAGCACTGGTGACACTAAGGCTCAAGTGCTTCTTAGCATTTTCTATAGATGCTGGTCTATGCTTTAAAATGTTTCTACCCTGATACAGGCAGGAAGCAAAGGTAAGGACCTGATAGATGCATGAGGTTAAAAATAGTAAAGCCAAAATGTACCTTAATCCTTGACCAGTCGTCTACAAGGATCAGTGCATCAGAAATGGAATTTCAGCAATACAGCATGAGTAAAACCTCTTTAACTGAAAAGGGGAAGGAAGATTAAGGTATCCTTTGTTACTTTTCCTATGACAGGGTTTGCATTAGGTGACTATGAATGTGCATGGGTTTTTCCTTACTTGAGTTCTATCACTAGAACTATGTCCTCCATTTCATTTATTCCCACAGAGGTTGGGTGCTGAGCGCACCTAAATGACATTTTTGCTGTGCAAGATCCATTTTAATTTGCAGCCTTCCAAGGAGCTATAGTTTACTTTGATTTTAAATTAAGAAATCATGTGATCTCCCAATAGATTTTGTAACACCCACCGACCACCACATTTGACCTTTGCAGTGCCAAGTGAAACTTGTTGCAAATCCCACGACCAACTCCACATGCTAGTTCCTTCTAACTGCACCTTATGCTATGTGTTTTGGATGGTTTTTAATATTTTTCATGTGTAATGTGTAGCACATTTTCACTTGAGCAGCTGACAAAGGAAAAGCCTTAGAACCCATTCATGCCTTGGGGCCGTGGCAGAGGCCCCAGAGTGTTGAATGTACAATTGAAGAGGGTAAGGGAAGGCAAGCTTGTGTTTGTGCACTCTCCTCCAAAAACTATTAAAGAGGAGATTATATCAAAAAACTACTAAAGAGGAGATTATATCAATAACATACAGGAGTAAACCACAAAACCTCCTGTTTGTTCACAAGTGCAATGTGGAGTCATGTGTGAATCAGTCTGTAGTAGCCCCACAATCTGTAGTATAAGGAATTAGGCAGAATACTACTGTCAATCAGTGGTGTCAGTCCTGAAAGGTGTCAAGATAAAAAAATGCTCCTTCCAGTTATTTCTTGCACAAATAATTGCTTCCATTTAGGAAAAGCAATGCGCACAATCATGCAAGTGTGTTTTGACAGAATTTGTACCCAATTGTAGCTTGACACCATGAGTGCACTCTGCAAAACAGACATTATTCTGTCCGTGCTGCATGTGCAATTTCAGTACACAAAAATGTCTGTGTGTGCAAGAGTTTCTTGTGCTTCTGAAGCAGACAGACAGGTTTGCGAATGATAGGAAGAGGAGCAACTAGGAACAGTAGAGAGTTGATGTCCACTGCTCAGTAGAGATGATGTCCACTGCTCAAAAAAAACCCCAACCACATCTCAGCATCCACAGCTGCTTCCATTTGGCTCACATATCCTAAAAGGTTTCTCTTCCTTTTCCCTCCTCCGCTGAGGAACAGCTGCTGCCAAACCAAGCATTGTGCTCACTTGCTTTTACCTCTCTAAAGGCAGCATTGGGCTTGCTTTCATGCGCATGTTTATCACCTGATCAGTACCACCTCGAGCAGTGGCTTGCATGTGTGACTGAGACACCAGATCACAACCCCTTCCATATCACCTCAAATGCACCACTTCTCAGTGGAGCTAGGGTCACACATCCAACTGCAGGTCATCAGTTGCTGAATCATCAATTCAGGCATGTGTGAATTAGCCCACAATGTCCCAAGAGCTACAAAATGGAAAACTTAGCAACTCCCCCCCTCCCCATTTTTATGATGTATAGTTTGCAGGTTAACAAGACCAGAAATGAGCCTATGCATAAAGAGATTTTTTTTAAAAGTCTGACTCAACCCTTATTATTTTCTAGTTAACTTTACAGAGGTAATAAGATCCGTTACCTTCCAAGAGAAGTAACCCTAAGGAGTGTAGCCTCCTGGCTTTATTGCTCTAAAGGTCACATCCATTGTGCTCCTAAAGTAGACAAATGCTTGGATCTGCCTTTGCTAAGGTATTACCATTCTCACTTCCCTCCTGAAGAAAATAATAGGGCTCACTCCATTTTTAGAAAGTACATGCTGACTACCAGCAGCTCTCCTCCTCAAATAAAAAAAATTAAAAATCATAAAATTGCAAACCAATAGTTTCTGTTATATGGCTATGCTCCATTCTCATTAAGTACTCAAACCCAAGCAGGAAAACTTAACTCATTTGTGTCTTAATTGGCATCAAGTTTTTCTAGAGTATGACCTTTTCACATTCAGAAGAAAATGCAAGACATGCTTGCTGAAAACATTGAGTAGACCAAGCATTTCTTTTTCAAGTAGCTTTTGTTTTAAGTCCCACCAGCTGAGAGTTGCATCCCACTCCTTGAAAATCAAACTTGTTATCAGCTTATTTTAACTGAACCTTCTTTATGGAATCTCCATTGGAGAGGTAGTGTCTCTGAATACCAGATGCTGAGGACTAAACAATAGGGAAGGCCACACTTGTGAGCTCCCAAAGGGCATCAGGCTGGCCACTGCTGGAAACAGAAAGCAGCAAGGCAGTTCTTACCAGACAAATAAAATATAAAACATTTCTCAATGATGGCCAAAATACATGTATGGGTTGAATGCGAACAAATGCCAATGACTTACTCAATGTTGTAGTGACACTTCTGTTATCTATGCATTCTTTATAATTGCACAAGGCAGCCATGTTCACTATGCCTTGGACGTTTCATGTCTTTTTTTGATTAACTTGTTAAATACAGCTTAAATATTTTTATTTTATTTATTCTATTTTTACTGAAATATTCTTCGATTATGTTGACATATCTTTATTACTGGATGTGATCGCACACGATAATCCAGTGCTAAGTAATCTCAGTGTACTATAGGTTGCCTAAAGACAGAGGATTTTTGTAATTATTTGTAGTCACCTTTTTAATTAACTGAATATGTAGAAGTAAAATGGCAAAAATAACATGTAAAGCTAACTTCTATTATTTTTTAAAAACACAAAAAGCAAGTTAGATGCTGCTCTCACGGACCACCTCATTTGCGTACTCCGTTGAAGGAAGGGAGATTGTTAACCAGTCATTTGTGATAGCTTAATTAATGCCTTTTTTTCTGCCCCAACCCACAGCAGTTCTTTGATGCTGCTTGTTGCTTCGTTTATACAAAACAAGTACTATTTCTTTAAAAAACATGTTTTTTCATAGAGATGAAGAAATGCCTAAAAACGGAAAGAAATTTGCATGAAACGCCATCAATCCTACTTCTGTAACAAAGAGGTCTTAATGATAAACTTTGTGTGCAAAGCCTTTAATAGCTGAGTAGAAGAAAATCTACAGAAAGCTGAATACAAAGATGGCGCCGTCTACAAAGCTTTAAGAACTTGTTTATTTGTTAAAGAACTCTGCAGTCAATTAAACAGATCACATATGGAGGGAAACTGCTATTTTTATCGCATTAGCTCACAAAAGCTGAGCCTCTCTAGAGCTCTATCATTACCATCATTAGCTCCTCTCTTTGGCAGGCATAGTTATTTTGAGGGAGAGAAGTGTGAATAGCAGAAGTAGGTTTGATTTATTTCACTATCTGCAAAAGAGAAAGGAGAAAATACACACAGTTTATCAGTAAGAGCTCTCGCTATTACATGAAGTAGTTGATTTTAAAACAGAAAAGTTTTTTCCACCATTGTCCACTTTTTACACATTTAAATGTAATCTGTTGCAAGAATAAATTTAGCTGCATTAACTGCTGGCCTCTTGTGTTTATGTCGCTGGGAGAATCGTGATTCCACAAGAAAAGCCACCATTCTAAAAACACTCGTCTTCGCTTGGTAAAAAGAAATGGTTATTATTCCTTTTCAGCTATGTAATCTCCAGATTAAAATATAAAATAGGGCAGATTTTAATGAGAGTAGGTTTACTAAAGGAAAAAGATGATTTTTGAATATTTAATACAAAAGTATGGGAAAACCCAGCCAGATGGAGTATAAATAATAATTATTATTATTATTATTATTATTATTACCTAACGCAATAGTACTCTCAACTGTAGATGCCAGCCAAAATACTTCTGGTTTGCCACGTTATGCATCCTCTTCAATTTAAAAGGTAAAGTAAAGCTACCCCTGCCCATACGGGCCAGTCTTGACAGACTCTAGGGTTGTGCGCCCATCTCACTCAAGAGGCCGGGGGCCAGCGCTGTCCGGAGACACTTCCGGGTCACGTGGCCAGTGTGACATTGCTGCTCTGGCGAGCCAGAGCCGCACACGGAAATGCCGTTTACCTTCCCGCCAGTAAGTGGTCCCTATTTATCTACTTGCACCCGGGGGTGCTTTCGAACTGCTAGGTTGGCAGACACTGGGACCAAACAACGGGAGCGCATCCCACCGCAGGGATTCGAACCGCCAACCTTTCGATCGGCAAGCCCTAGGCACTGAGGCTTTTTACCCACAGCGCCACCCGCGTCCCTATTTACCCACCACCCTCTTCAATTTACCCACCACCAAATGCTTAATTGCTCCTGATATGTTATATATAATGAAGACTGTTTCATACGGAACAGAAATTTTCTTCCAACATCTGAAAAGATACCTAGGCATCTCAGTTAACTATGCCTCATGGGTATATTTTACACATGATATATGAATGCCCTTAAAACATTACAGAAAGAATATAGTCAACCTATAAGGAAGCACAGAACGTTTGTCTTTCCTGTAATGTTCGAGGACTAATGCATATGTGTTACAACTGAGCCTATAAAATCCTTAGTTACAAAAGATACTAAGTGGCTAGGGCGCGGGGACACAGAAAATAACAGACTAGAGTTATGAAAGGCATTAATCAGCAATTGTTTAATAGGTTTGTTTCCATTTAACTATGCTGCCTAATGAGCCAAATATTTATATTGACGTCCTAGTAGAGTTCAGTGTCTAGCCGCAGCAACATGAAACCATCCAGTAATTGTGCTACCTCACAAAGAAAGCCCGGAAATGTTCTTGTCCTTTTTCTTTGAGGTTGCGATGTCCTATTCTTAAAGCCAAAATGGTCACAATTTGCTTTTTTTAAATAAAAAACCCAGTCCTTTTGGAAGAGAAGATTTGAGCAGATTATTAAACAGGATGAAGTCTTGAAAGATCACTCTGCAGACTGGAACCAATTTTAGAAAAAGATACAAGGTAAGGTATTCATAATTCCCAAGGCTTTACACTGAAATATCTAGAAAATAAGAACTGAAATCCACTTCTACTTTTTAGAAGCCCTGTTCTTCTTTACAATTGTAACGGCTAGCCCTAAAATTCAGTACCTGTAAGTTTTTACTTAGACAGAATCTGTCTGTTGTATTCTAAGCTGATCATCTATTGCCCATGAAACCTCTGGTTTACCCCTGTCTGCATAATCTGATACTGTATATTAATTTAAGCATTTTGACATTCAAAGTTCATTGAAATAAAAGCCTTTCTGCAGAACAGCCCCTCTGCTACCATAATAATAGCTGTGGAAAAGGCATGTGAACATCTTAACTGCTGCCTAGAGCAGTTTGGTCCCTATGCAGATGAATACTGAATGCCCAAGGGTTTTCATTTTTTACCATTAGAGGAATACAAGTTTCAAATTTTGAAAGAATTACGGTTAAAAACTGAGTTACAAAAGGCAATCTTCAAAGCCACGGACGAGAATGCTTGACTCTAGAAGAAAGCGAGGGCTCTTTTGTCTTGATCAGCTTTTTGGATGTAGAAGGGCTAAGCGTGCCATGAGTTCCACCCCAATTATAATAATAATGGTTAGTCGAAATATGGGATCGGTTTCCTTGTGGGTTGAAGTATGGCACCATTACCGGAGGCAGGACGATTTCGACAGGTTTCAAGACCATCACACTATCGTCAAGCTTTGGTTTTCTGATGTTTCGATGCTTTTCAAACATCTTTTGCATGGAAGCTGCAGTAAGCGAATTTTTGGACATCATCGGCAGAGACGAGTTCGAGGGGGGTTGGACTGTTTTCTTCAGGGGAACGGAACTATTTGTCTGGTTCACAGATTTCTGAGAGGCACTGGAAGCTAAATTAGAGACGGAAGTATCCGACTCAATCATGCCGGGTTTCATTTCTCGATCCAGGAACTCCTGAATTTTGGACTTTATCACTGCCTCTTTAGTAGGTGTCTTTGGCTGGGTTACTTTCGGTTTCTTTTTCTTTTTCTCTTCTCTCTTAGCTGGCTTTGCTAAATCAATCCCTTCCAATAACCCTTTTGCCGCAGCACGAGCTAAAACATCTTTCACAGACACCGTCTCCGATGGATCCCTCTGTAAAGTTAAAAGGGACACATTATCAGCAAAACCAAATCACAGCTCCGAAGAAGGGCAGCCGGTGTCATCCACGGTACATAGAAATATAGGAAAATGACACCCTTAGTTCTGTGAAAGCAATTCACGTTAGCATTTGTTGTGCATGTCAGAGGAAGTAGCTGCTGTTCTAAGTATCTATTGTTACCACCATTCTGCAGACCTCCTTGTCCTTATTATCATATAGGGCAGGAGTAGCTAACCTTTGAATCTCTCCAGTTGTTGCTGGAACTACAGTTCTCAACATCCCCAACTACTGGCTATGCTGGTTGGAATTAACGGGAGCTGGAGGTCAACATCCCCTGGAGAACCAGAGCAGGGGCTCCCTACCTGGGCAATTCTACCCTCCCTGCTTTCCAGCTTAACTATACAGTGATACCTTGAGTTACAAATGCCTCAGGTTTCAAACGCCACTAACCTGGAAGAGTTACCTCAAGTTGAAAACTTTGCCCCAGGATGAGAATGGAAATTGTGTGCAGGCGGCGCAGCAGCAGCAAGAGGCCCCATTAGCGAAAGCACACCTCTAGTTCAGAACAGTTTCAGGTTAAGATCAGACCTCCGGAACGAATTAAGTTCGTAACTAGAGGTACCACTGTACTGTAGCAACAGTAAGGAATAATAACTTCCCTAGCATCATATTAGGTAAAAGGTGAAGGACCCCTGGACGGTTAAGTCCAGTCAAAGGGGACTGGGGTTGCGGTGCTCATTTCACTTTCAGCCCAAGGGAGACGATGTTTGTCCACAGACAGCTTTCTGGATCATGTGGCCAGCATGACTAAACCGCTTCTGGCGCAACGGAACACCATGACGGAAGCCAGAGTGCACGGAAACACCATTTACCTTCCTGCCACAGCAGTAACTATTTATCTACTCGCACTGGTGTGATTTCAAACTGCTAGGTTGGCAGGAGCTGGAACAAAGCAACAGGAGCTCACCCCATTGCGCGGATTCGAACCACCGCCCTTCTGATCGGCAAGCCCAAGAGGTTTACACCACAACGCCACCCGCTCCCCTTAAGCATCATATTATCAGATGGCAAACAATACGATTAAAGTAAGATAGCTTTGAAACAGATGGAGATCTTTCGATCTCACCTCCACCATGGAATTGTTTGGTGATCTTGGACGACTCGCCATTACCTGCGTTCAGTTTAAGAATACTTTTAGTTCTCAGGACACAACAAGATAGTTTTTAGACTAAATAACGTGAATAAGCAGGCACTCCCAATGGTCCTGGAGGCTGCAGAGGAAGTTCTGCTGGCACAGCGTGAGGCCTGCTTCTGGAAGGCGGCCTCGGGGCAGCCATTGACATTCTGCGGCTGCCCCTATGCTCTGTGGGGTGGTAGGAAGGGTGAAAAGAAGGCTGCACCTCAGGAAAAAGGTTAATCTTTATCTGGGACCCTGACATTTTCAGCAGATCAGTGGGGTGGTATGTTGGGGCAGATGGGGGGTAGACACAGATTGCATACTACTGAACTGGACAAAGGAAACAAGAGCACATTTCTTGGAGAGATGACATAACGGCCAAGAAATTTACAAAATGCAGTTGAGGGAGATTATGTATATTGACTGGGAAATCTGCACAATGCCTTCTTCGTGGACAGATTACTTGCACAATGGTTGGCTGTTACGCATGTTAACTGTTAAATCTACACTACCTTTCATCTATATCCAAGAAGTCACTAGCAAAAAAAAATCAAAATATCAAAACACTTCATTTTATTGGTTATATTACTTTTTTTTTTTTACTAGTACTTACCTCTCGGGATAGAACAGCTATAAAACAGCTATTAGAAATATCTGATGGCTCCAGTCGGAAAAAGTTTGCTGCAGACAAGCTTATTTCTGATTTGCAACACAATGGAAGAACAGGCGGACAAAGCCTACAATGGATATTAACACAAAGTATTGAATCACTACCATGTGCCCTTAAGTAAAATGCAATTTTAGTCAATTGTGGCCTCCCTGTAGTTTTCTTAAAAAAACAAAAGCTAAGCGCTGTCATGAAAGGTTTTTCCTAAGTATATTAAACGCACTGTTTTCATTTAAATGGCCAGCAACTGTTCCCAATTGTGGTGGGGATTTTTTAAAATATATATATATTTATATATGCTTTTATAAATATATATTTATATATAAAAATAAAAGATTTCTTAGTTTACAAAAATACGTGCATTGTCTCTTTTTTTCAAGTTGCGTTTTCTACAGATCAGTTTCATTTGTTGTGAGACATTAGTGTTGCATACAGTGTTAGGTTAGCAAGAAAAGGGGGGGAAGGGGGGCGAGGGAGGTGGGTGACAATGCTTCTATTCTTCTACATAGTACCTCGGTTTTCAAACATAATCCATTCCAGAAGACCATTTGAGTTCTGAAATGTTCAAAAACTGAAAACTCAAAAGCTGACAGTTAGGCCTCATGATTTTGCACTCAGCAGAAGCCGCGTGGCATATTCAACTTCCAAGGCATATTCAAAAACCAAAGCATTTACTTCTAGGTTTACGGCGTTGAAAAACCGAAATGTTTGTCAACGGAGATGTTCGAAAACCGAGGTACCGTTGTACTTAGTGTATGTGTGGGGTTTTGTGTCAGCATCACTTGTGTGGGTTCTCTTCCTATTCGCTTGTTGTATTTCCTTGGTGGTGAGAGAGGTTGGGGGTGGCCTAGGGTGTGGATGGTTGACTTTGGTTGGCTGTAGTGAGATTTGTTTTTATGTCTGAGCAGGGTGTGTGTGTGTTTGGATCAGGTTAGCCAGATTGATTTGTATGCTGTCAGTGGGTTCTTGTTGTTGTCTTGTCGGGCTGTGTATTGGGGTGAAGGTGTCTTCTTCTATTTGTCCCCATGCCATTTTCAGTTTGTTGGTTAGTTTTTCTAATAAGGCTGTTTCCTATACTATTGATTCATGCTTACTCCTGATAGGTCTCTCCAGGGTCTGGCTATGATGCTTCTGGCTGCTGAGAGTGGGTTATGAGCTCTTTATGTGTGAGTGGGCATTATTATCTTGGAAGATTTTTAGTAGGGCCAGTTCTGGGGTGACTTCTAATACTTGCTTAGTTATTTTGCATATTTCTATTATGATTGATGTCCAGAAGAGTTTTTAACTTCACGTACTTAGGCTTAGGGCAGAGCTTTCCAAACTTTTCAGATCGGTGACACACTTCTTAGACATGGCTCCATGTCACAGTAATTCAGTTTTACTAGCAAACCAGAGGTTCTACTTAACCCCTTTGCAGCCCCGGGAGGGTCACCAAATCACATTACGTAAATCAGCAGCCTAGGCAGAAATCCATTCTGGGCATCAGTCATTTTGCCCATTTTTTTAAAGTTGTCACAATGTGTAAACTGCCCTCAAAAAAAGTACTTGGGATTTTCCTGAAGAACAGCAAATCTGTTGTCCCTGGTGCAAGAGAAGCGTTAATGATCAGATGGTGCAATAGCAATTTTAGGGACCAACCCAATATAGAAGTGATAAAATCCTTTTCTCTGTACAACTGTACAATCAAGGGCTTGGTTCGCACATCACAATAAACTATAGCTTGAAATAAACTCAAACTTCGGAGCATCTCAAACTACACAAAAGTTTCCGCCATACTCCTCCCCTTCTCGAACCCAAGTAACAATGCATGGACTGGGCTACACAATAGTATCAACAGGGGCCATGCACTCTGTTTTTTCTAGTAACATCTACATACTAAAGCAGACATGCAAAAACTGACATATGCAGATGGTCATCCTGACAGAAAGACACATCAATTTCATGAGTAGAAGGTTTGGGGTTGTTTTTTTTAATTCACCAGCTACTAATTTCATTGAATTAGCTACAATAGGTATTGCAGCTTGACAGGATTTTATGCTCAAGCTCTGAGTACTCTACAGTTCTGAAACAGAATGATTGGGATAGGGACTATATGGCACTGTAAGCTCTGCATCAGCAGATGAATGTAATTCACAACCAATAAAAGCCTGCTCTTTACTTGTAAGGCTGAGCCTTGGGTCCTTCTGCTCCAGATGCCAGGGCTTTGTTCACCACAACTTCATTTTCTTCTGGGTAAACTGAACAGGTGCAGTAGACAATAGCTTGCACTCTGCTAACTGTAAGAATCAAGTAACGAGAAAATCCAACTGTTAATAATTTCTAGTTTAAACACACTTTAAATATTAAACACATGTCACTAATGTTAAAAACATTTAAAGTTGATCCAATTTGCATAGATGTATTGAACATTACCATCTTATAACTAAAGCAACCAGGAATTCATATTTTGTCACGAGTAAATCATATGTTCCATTAAAAGCCCACCCCAACTAGGGACCCACATGCTGATCCCCTTTCTTCTATATAATCTAAAACCTTTTCACATTCCCTACAACCATATTGTGCCTCTAGCATGCCCTACCATCCATTTCCGGCTAGGATTATAAGTTTATGGCTGTGCCTTTAATAGCAACTTGATTTACAGACATCAGCAAGTAATATTTATCTCACTTCCTAGTGATGTCTGTCTAGCACCCTCTGATGGATTTCCACTGACATGCAAGTACCTTTTCATTCAGACAGACTTATGGGTCACACTTTGATCAAAAGCTTTTGCCACTCCATTTTTAATAAGTTTTAATTTGCAATTGTTTTATTGATGAGTTCCATCTTTTTATCTGCTCTGATCCTGTTTCCCATAAAGACCATTTAGTCCAAATAATTTGCAAGTTAGCTGCCTTGGGAACCAAATCTTAAAACCTTACTTTAAAATAAAAATAAACACTGACTTTCTCACAATTTTAGAAATATTATTCAGCAGAGAAAGGAATTTTCTTCTATTAAATGATTTTCAAGGGAGGGCATTTATTATCCTTTCCAGAAGGCAGGGGCAAGTGATGATTAGCTCATAAGGCTTTCCTAAAGTGGACTGGAAAAATCAGGGATTATAGTTCCAAAAGGAACATAAAGAACAACAACAGCTAAAAGAACCAATAAAGACTGCTAGGCTAGGCCTGTTTAGCACACTGCAGACTCCTCCTTTCCTGGAATAGTCCATCATCAGCTGTCCTTCCATTGCAACTGCATGGGAAAAGATATCCCAAAGGATAACAAATGCCCCTAAAGAAGGCCATTGAGATTCCCTAAAACATCAAGGTGACTGTTCCCGTTGCAAGACTATGTTTTCAGATGCCCATCAGTATTTGTGACATTTTTTGCTCCAGGAACAATTTTCTCTTCCAATAGTTGTCCTCTCAGTACTCTTATTTCTCTGAATACTCGGGGTTTGTCTATAAACAATATTTTACTCTAATTCTTACCAGTTAATGACAAACTTACACTGCATTGCATGTGACAATTCTTGCAGCTGCTGTTGAGCAAGGGAATTGAGTTTATCTTCTGCTACAGAGCCCTGAGAGAGATCTCTAAGTAATTCTGCATCTGAAGAGAATACAATGAGCAAGTTCAAACAAAAACCAGTAACTGGCCATGTCCTCATGAAACACTAAACCACGGCAATGTGCACTGCCCTCAAAAAAGAACTCTCCCCTCTCCTCCTTTCCACATGACCAAAACAAAGACTTTGGAAGTGTTACCTCAATTCTATTAAACCAGTTTGATGCATCATCTGGACTCAGAATGATGGTTAACACAACTATGATTGGTTTCAACAAGCTAGTTTCAAGCCACTTTGAAACTGATCACATTTTTATGCACCATTTATTACATCTCAGCAACTTCCACCCAGATGTATTACAAGGTTTTTCTTCTGGTCTAGGATTATGCAGGCAAAAAGGGGAGAAATTGGCAACTTTTCTGAGGACAGATGGGAAGTAAGAGAAAGACTGAGACCAGCTGACCAGACTGCCAACCCCTAATTCTATATCACTTTCGTTGGCTGATTTAAAACCAGATGAACCAACAAAAAACAGAGTGTGTCAAGTAGTGCAGCAATGCATCACAAAACATTGTGCTTGAGTTGCAGGTAGAGATAATGGAAATTGTTTAGGATTCCACTAATGATGGTTCTCTATAATGAGCATAAAACCATCAACACCAATAATGCCAAGACAGGCAGGAATGCAGATCAAACATTTCATTTTACGGCAATCTAAGAGAAATATTTCAAAAAGTTACCTTCATGTTCTTTTAGAATGAATTCTATTGGGTTGCTAACCCCCAGGCCTGAACACCGAGGCAGTAGTAAAATAACTTTAACTTTCTGCAGCTTATCAGTTGGTTCAATGTTTGCAAAATCTTCACGTAGTAGCACAATATCTGAAGGGGAGGGGAGAAGAACCAAATAAGTCTGCAAGTTAGGTAAAGGTAAAGGGACCCCTGACCATTAGGTCCAGTCGTGACCGACTCTGGAGTTGCGGCGCTCATCTCGCTTTATTGGCTGAGGGAGCCGGCGTATAGCTTCCAGGTCATGTGGCCAGCATAACTAAGCTGCTTCTGGCGAACCAGAGCGTTCTAAAACAAATGGGTCAATTTTGAATTTATTACTTAATCATTAATTAGTGTATATACCCTTCCACGTCAAATGGCTTCTAAGTGGTATGAATAATGCTAACACATGCTTACTTTTACACTCCATCTGTGCAAACAAGTCCCTCAGTTCAGCTTCCTTTGCCAAAGACTTTACTCCACATACAAACACTTTGGAAGTCATCTGATTTGTCAGCACCGACATATGAGCCACAGTGAGCCATGAACCCATGTGTGCTATTAAGATGTCATCATCCATATTCAGCAAGGCCTTCGCCGAATGGACAGCAAGACTCCTGGATTTATCCTAAGAATTAAGCAGAGATGCCCAATTAAGAAAAGGGTGATTGACAAATTATTTAAGCAGCAAAGCTTGTTTATTTCTGCAGGGCCAGCACCCAAGTAAAAAAGCATTTCAAGAAAACTGAATTTGCCATTTCGAATGTGCAGCCGTTACTCAGTTTCTGCTTGTAATCTAAACCAACTGCTTCACGTATGGGCCCAGCCACGTGATTACATACAGCCCCGTAGTATGGAAAGTGTGGCATGCAGTTTGGGAAAATTTCCCAACAGAAGGGGCTTCAAACATAACGTGCTAAATTCCACACGTGTTCCAAGTGATCATCCATGTAGTTGCTTCCATATGATAATCACACTTCCATATGACAATCACACCGATAATCACACTGCTAGGGGCGCAGTGGAAGATGGCCAACAATACCATCTCTCCGGCTCACATGAGGTAATTAAGAGGCTAAAATGGGAGTAATTAGCCTCCCGAGTTTTCCCGGGGGGAATGGGAAAACACTGCCTCGTCTGCAGATGCCTATAAATCACCCCCGAGTTTGAAAGAAGGAGGGGGTGAGGGCACTAGACGGAAAGCCCTTGTGTGAGTTTTTCGCTCTCCCGGACGCTACTTCTGATTGCGACCTGGTTGCAGGAGCTCAAGATAAATAATTAGAGAAGAGCAAATGCACATGTTTCGAGTGAAGAAAGGGAGTATTGACTGCTAACTGAATCGACCTCTGTGAAGCTGAGCGACGGGTCGGACTGAACAGGAAATTATGTCAAAGAAGACTACATCAAAGATGTCGGTATGTCGGAACGGGGCGGAAAGGAGGGGAAAACTTTTCTTTTTTTCGCTATGTGATTACCTAACAACCCCCCCCCAAGAAGAACCGTTGCAATGACCGATAACAAGTGAGATGGAATAATGAACTGTGTGGAAATAAATCATTAACTAAAGTCTTTGCTTTGTGGAAGATCTGGAAAGGAAATGGAAGGCTTTTGGGATGACACCTTTCTAAAAGAGAATCGCCATGACAGGCTCTGTTGCAGGATTGACGGTCAAGAGGGGGAGGAAGCCGCGACTTTGTTATCATATTTGACTCTGCGTTTGATCAGGCAGAACCCCCCTGAAAAGATTGATGTCAGAGCAACAGGTCTGGGAAAGCTAATGAGCAGACACTGAGACTGTATTTTATGGAAATGCTGAAATGGTGTTTGCCGTTTGAATAAAGAAAGGAAAAAAATACGATAACAAGAAAATTGAAAGATGATTTGTAAAGGAAAACAACAAAGAGATGAATGGACAGAACTGTGAACATCAATGCAGCAGAAATATGAGAGGATTGGACCCTTTCTGAGCTCGAAGCATGGGTACCCCCAACAAAAATTTAAAATTCGGTTTTGTCATTTGGAACTAATGTGATTTGATTGGTTTGTTAATAAAAATTATAAAAAAAAATTGCAAGGCATATGGTGCCAATACAGAGGCAGGCTGGTGACTTCCGGTGCTCCCTGCCTCAATGGGTACAGCTCCCACATTAGTGGAGGTCATTTGAAGAGGAAAACAAGGATGATTTTGAGGGTAATTGTCCTTGCAAGCTCCCCCCCAGGGCCCAGGGGGAGTGAACTTCACCCACAGATTGTCTTGATACCTGGGCTCTCGCTCCGGCATGGAATCCGGGAGGCAGGAGGACACTGGGTGCCAAAGCACTTCGCCTATCGGTAACCCCCAGACACAGCCATTAAGATGCAGAGGCTCTTCTGTTTATTAGGATGAAATTGGCTCTAATTTACAGACATGTGCATAATGGATGGGACAAGATTATAAATTGCCAAGTGAATCAGCTACTGAGTATCAACGTTTTGAATTAGAAAGATTTCCTTCGTAGAAAGATACAGTATGTGAGGAGGGAGTGAAGCCTTTACCCTTTCTTTATATACACCATGTTTGCTACATAAATGATTCGGCAAAACTTCCCCTGAATGCCAACAAACTGATAAAAAGCAAGAGGAGGAAAAAAAAAAGAGTAGGATGATATTTATGGATTAATATGAAAATAGAACTGTGTGAGAACATCGAAAGACTTGAACCACAGCTTCCCAGATTGTAACTCATGTCTCTTAGTCACCTCAGACCCTACACTTGACACTGAACAAAGAAAACTATAGCGAGTCCAGAGTAAAGCTGCCCCCAATGAAGCTCAAGTTTCAAGGACGTCATAGCTAGTCCTTCTACTCCAGTATTCAAGGTTATCACATTTAGTTCATAACGGGAGGGCCTTTCAAAATTAAAGCACTTACTTACAATTAAGTAAATGTGCTTAACTTGCCTTAAGGACATCCAGTGTCAGTTGCATGATATCCCTAGAACCCATATCAGGTGAAAGGGGCTTAGTAGGCTTGATGTTCAGAGATGAGGAACAATGGGCCAGAAGAAAATTCAAGGAGTGTGTGCACGAGTGCCTATAAATCACCTTGCAATAAAAGTGGTACTCCAGTGGTTGGCTGTAATGAAAAGCACAATATCCAAAGACTGAAAAGAGATGATGTCATAGGACAAAGGAGAGGCAAGAACAGAAGTTGTGTAATCATAACAGCACACAAATACAAGACAACAGAAAACAATGGTTGTGAACTGAAGTTAAATCAAAAACTAGCAATGAACTACTGAAGACTGTAGAGAGAGATAGTTTCAGACCCAGAATTTAATGTAATTCAAGCTAATGATATTACTGCAAAGTTTCACAAACAGATTTTTTCAGTTTGGAGCTTCTTGCTAAACAGTTTGGTGACTATTGACAAGCAAGTCTTCCGAGTCAACTGTAAAAACTTCACTACAGCTGTGGTCAAATTAGTGATGTTCTTTGTGGAAGAAGATAAGCATTCTAACAAACACACGCAACACGTCAAAACAGATTTTGCAGAAGTTTGTAAGCATAGCCATAGCACCACAGTTTATTTAAATTGCTCTTTTCTTTTAACAAGACATTGAAAAGAAATAGAAACATGCAACACAGAAAGACTATGAAGCATGAAGTTAGGAGATTTATTTCAGTTTCATGTTAACATACCTGCAATAAGAGCTTGTAATCAGAAAACAGCTCCAGAGTAAGAAGCTTTTCTTTAAGAGTAGAAGGGAAAATGAGTACGTCTTCACAGTGCTTATCTAGGCAATATGAATAGCCACCAAAACTGGAGACCGATTCCACTCTAGTGAATCCCTCCTTGTGTAAAGTGCTATGAACATCTTCAAGGCTGTTGCAGAAACACAACTGTTTAATATAAGTGCTTAATATAAAAGTAAGAAATCACTTGTACTTGCATCTGAAACACTACAGATATGTCTGCATTAATTTAATTTGTTGTTGCTCACTACCCTGCTACACATAGTTACACATGTTTCCTGCTTGGCAGGGGGTTGGACTCGATGGCCCTTGTGGTCTCTTCCAACTCTATAATTCTACATTTCCTGTACATACAAGCTTCCTTCCCTGGGACTTGCAAATACAGTGGTACCTCGGGTTAAGAACTTAATTCGTTCTGGAGGTCTGTTCTTAACCTGAAACTGTTCTTAACCTGAAGAACCACTTTAGCTAATGGGGCCTCCCGCTGCGCCGCTGCTGCACGATTTCTGTTCTCATCCTGAAGCAAAGTTCTTAACCCAAGGTAATATTTCTGGGTTAGCGGAGTCTGTAACCTGAAGCGTATGTAACCCGAAGCATATGTAACCCGAGGTACCACTGTAAAAAGTTCTTAAAATGCTGAATATGCACCCCACAGAAATAATTCTCCGTGGTTCTACCTGTACCAGGTTCAACAGTCTGAAGCTACACTTCTGTTCCCTTTCCCGAACAACTGGAAAGATCTGCTCTTCTACTGGAAAGATCTGCTCTTCCCTAGAGCAACATGCCACTGCTAAGCTGATATAAAGATCCCCATGGCCTAGTTCAGCTCTAATCCCTCCAAGCTTACATACTCAACTTGGGGTTGCTCCCAAATTGTGATGCTGAATGTATAGTAGCAGGTAAATATTGAGACGCTGAATCAGACAGCTAGACTTTGGGGTCACTTCCAAATGACCTTTTTATCAAGTAGGCATCCTCATCACTTTACACAAAGTTTGTAAAGAAGTAGATGAGTTCCCGTTGTTCAGTCCCTGCTCCTGCCAACCTAGCAGTTCGAAAGCACGTCAAAGTGCAAGTAGATAAATAAGTACCGCTCCGGCGGGAAGGTAAATGGTGTTTCTGTGCGCTGCTCTGGTTCGCCAGAAGCGGCTTAGTCATGCTGGCCACATGACCCGGAAGCTGTACGCCGGCTCCCTCAGCCAATAAAGCGAGATGAGCGCCGCAACCCCAGAGTCGGCCACAACTGGACCTAGTGGTCAGGGGTCCCTTTACCTTTAGAACAACACTGGCTTTCTATTAAGTATTCTGTGTTCCTTATAGTAAAAACTCAAATCCTGGGGGGAAGTGGGTTTGTTGTGCAAGGGTGCCAAATCAACTTTAGTTGTGCAGCCTGAAATTGCCAGTATGTGATTTAATGCCACCTAAGAAGACACAGTCTGAAAGGCCCTTGGGAGAGCGTTCATTGTTTTTGGTATCTAACAAAAATGTGTACTCTCGTTTGGCAAAGCTTGTATCTCCCGTTTCTGTTTGCCGCTCGTGTCTAAATAAGACTGATTTTAATGTGTCGCACAGGAATACAAGGAAGCAGTTGCACTGTTGGGCATCCAGATGTAGAAATATGGTTCTAAAGTCTCTAGGTGAAAGCCGGAGCTGGCAAGAATTGGCAGGAACAACATTTGTAAGTTGCAGCTGCTGCTGCTGTAAGCAAGGGAATCAGTAGATTCAACATAAAGGGTGCAATGGCATACACAACAGTGTGTTTTGGTAGTTAAAATAGGCAGGTACAGACTACCAACAAAAGAACATTCCACTCACATTCACCACTAAGTTTAGAGTACTAGGACAATGTTATGGAGCTTTCAAGAAAACCATTTAATTTACTTGCCACCAACACATTTTCACATGGAGAATATGCTTATATTATCTATGAGCATGTGATATAATTATGGAAGAAGCAAATATTTAAAACATACATGCTACACTAGCAAGCTTTCAACCTCACCTTATTTTAAGTGAATTGACCCACACATACAAGGGTAGCGTGGAAGCCCTTTGTTCTTGTTTCCTTATTGTTTCTGGCAGAATGTGTTCTAGAGAAAGAGCATCGTGTTTGATTCGACATCTTGCTAACGCAGCGGCCAGTTTTGTCTTAAAGCTATAGATTAAAAGAAGGATATGGATAAATCTTGTTATAAACTTAATTCGTGATTATTTAATCTTGCAAAATCCTGTTTCCTTGCAACAATCAATACTGGTATTGAAATACATAAGAGAAAATTATGGCCAACTCCCCTGTCCCCAGGGCATTTACAGCTAGAGAAATCATCAGAACAGATTTAAGTTGTGCTGTAATGGACTGATCTGCTCCATGTTTACTAGGCCAGAGGTGGGGAATATAACCCTCCAGATCTTGTTTTTCTATTATTCCCAACAACACTGACTATGCCACTGGGGCTCAAAGACCAACATCTGGAGAGCCAGTTTTCTCACCACTCTTCCCTCTATTCCCTAGTTTAGCAAGCCAGGACCTGGATCAGAACATGATTAGTTTCATCCTTTATCAGTTTCCGCACCCACACCCCATGACATCTCCTCTGCAAATACTCCAAAGCCTTTTGCTTTGCTCAACAAAGGGTAAGTTGTCACTCAAGTCCCCAGCTCTCTTACAACTGGCCAGCAGCAGATGCTCTTCCCTCTAGAGATCATTAGACACATCTCTGTGCAAAGCTGCAAAGCCTTCCCCCATTCCTAGACACTCGCCAGGAAGATTTGATAGCCCTCTTTGTTGACCCTTTGCTCCCAATCCTCTTGAACAAAAGTTCATAGGGTAAGCAAGCAGAAGAAATGTCAGTAATTACTTTGGTCCACTGAACAAGAAAGGGGCTGGATGGGCTGCTGAAGAAATGGGCGTTGGTAGCTTTTAGATCCAGCTGTACGACTGCATCTGTTGATATAGTTTGCCAATCTAAAAATGCTGTTTTTCTTAATGTCCAGTGGGTTGAAGGAGGGTGATACATGCTTCTCGATAATAATACACTCAATAATTTAAACAACTTAGTATGAGTTCTTTTAACCCCTAGTTCAGTATGGTAAAAACTGCCCATGGTCCCTTTAATGGCCCATCCACGTCCCACTCCAAAGCCTCATCTAGGCTAGTGAAGAACAGCTTGTCAGAAGCAGGTGGGAAGGGAAAGGAGCCTGTCGCCAGGCAGAATGAAAAGGAAGGGAATGTGCCTTTGAGAATCTCAGCATATGAGCCGTGTTGAGTCATTCTTCCCCTGCACCTCTGTTTCTAGGCTAGCAGCAACAAAAGAAACCAGGATACGAAACCTGCATGCTGCAACAAGCCAGAGTTAATTCAGGCCAAGATTCACAACCCAATGTTAAGCTGTGATTTTCGATCCCAGATTGTTGGTTCCAAATGAAACTAGGTTTTAGTAAGCCTGGTAAGGATCATAGATGCAAACAAACCAGAGACAAGTTAAACATTAGAGCAGCCCTGCTGGATCACATCAAAAGACCTATATTGTCCAGCATATTGTCTCAAAAGTACCCAGTTAGCTACCTCCTAGAAGACCACAAGAAGGACAAAGCGCAATGTCACTTGCCCACTTGTAATGTCCCCAAACTGGTTTTCAGCCATCATGACTAGAAGCCATTATCCTCCATGAATTTGTCCAATCCCCTTTTAAAGCTGTCCACATAGTTGGATTCCATGGTTTAGATATGTCCTGAATGAAGTTCATTTTTTCTGTCCCAAACTTCCCCCCATTCAGCTTTTATGGATGACCGTCTAGCTCTAGCATTATGAGAGATAAACCTCTGTCCACTTTGTTCACACAAGACATAATTTTATGCAGCTCTATCATATCCTCCCCCTTACTCATTTTTTTTCTGAATTAAAAAGCCCCAGAGCTATAACTGAGCCTCTCTCTCTTTGCAGTTTTTCCTGCTCCCAGCAGTCTTCCTAATCTCCTGAAAAGGCCATCGGGGGAAGCCTGGAAACAATTGGTAGCAACACCAAGGAAGTCTATCCTCTGTATTCTTATGGAAGCATTTTTCTCTTCTATATAGAAGTGAGCAGGGTGTTGACTTACTTTCCCAAGATAATATGAGATTGAAAGAAACAGAGTTCAGAACAGAGTTAATATCCCATGGAGGGAGCAGCACCAGTTGAAGGCAGGGCCCCTCTGCTCTCCCCTCTTCCAAATGCTGAAGGGAGAAGTGGAGGCACAGGGAATTTGGTGTTGCACAGGAACATAAGGTCCAGATTGGTGGATTGGCTCCACCACACAGCACTGATCTTCCCACACCTTGCCCCACACCCCTCTGGTAAGCGCCAGAGACACAATGCGTTTGGAAGTCAGGGAATAAGCAGCACCCCATCTCTGCACCAGCCACTACTGGGGGGCAGCATTATATTATTCTAATCAACCTGAAATCAATCAGTCTAACTGATTGTGAAGCCCGACATGAGATTTCACATCCGAAAATTGTTCAGTACTTGCTATCAGTTGAGAATCCTTCTACTTTCTTGTACATATACCTGCAAAGATAACGCTCAACTTCCTGGACTTCTGCTATTTGTTCTTCATCATCAATGTTTTCGCGAGCTTCAAATTTCCGATCTTGGAGATCATACAGCATCACAACAACTAGACTGGTCAATTGGTCTGACTGCAAAAAGAGAGAATCGCCATGTGGCAAGATAGGAAAGCAACAAAAAAGAATACCCAAATGCTAAATCTGCAGCACAACCCTCCAAACAGAGAGAACAGGTTCCTACATATTATAGTGACATGGGTGGTGTTGTGGTCTAAAACACTGAGCCTCTTGGGCGTGCCAATCGGAAGGTCGGCAGTTTGAATTCGCACAATGGGGTGAGCTCCCGTTGCTCTGTCCCAGCTCCTGCCAACCTAGCAGTTCGAAAGCACACCAATGCAAGTAGATATAGGTACTACTGCAGCAGAAAGGTAAACGGCATTTCCGTGCGCTCTTGCTTCCATCATGGTGTCCTGTTGCACCAGAAGCAGTTCTGTCATGCTGATCACATGACTCAGAAAAGCTGTCTGTGGACAAACGCCAGCTCCCTCAGCCTGAAGCGAAATGAGCACCACACCCTATAGTCGCCTTTGACTGGACTCAACCGTCCAAGGGTTCTTTACCTTTATACATATTATAGTGCAAAAAACACAACTGTTCAGATGCTGACTTTTAAAAATGGGGACTAATAAAAATGGGGGACTAATAAAAAATGAAAACTATTTTTTTGAACCTTTTGAAATACTTCTAATTGTTAAAATAAACCAGAAGGCTCTCTTCAGTTTTAGAACCACTAGTTCCCAGTAGGCCATGATTTTTGATTTATAGTACACACACACACACACACACACACACACACACATACAGTGAAGCCAGCAGTCCAGTAATCAAAGCATTTAAGAAAGCTTTTTAAAATGCAGTTTACAACCCCAGGGCACATGTGGAGCAGCTATGATCTTCAGATCTCTTGAATACAATCAACTGCAATGCTAGCCTTCCAATAGCAAAACAAACCTGAGTGGGGGGGTATAATTTTCTTTGTTTACTCAAAATAAATTGCTGTGCACTTTCCTCATTTTTATTGGCTATTTTCTGTCCACCACACATCAAAAGTGTGAACTGATAGCATTTTACTTGCTTAAAATAAATATGGGTTGTTTCTTTTTTCATGTTGTATAGCTCTAGGCTTGCCATACGTCAGGAAAGTTCCTGCCATGTCCTGGTTTTCAGGTATAAAAATGGTGTCAAGGGGAAATTTTGCCGAATTGACAAAATGTCAGAGAAAACCTGGATGTATGGCAACACAAGGCGAAAAGCAGCAGAAACAGCTCCAAAAGCTTGGTTTCCCCCCAAAGCTCAAGAATTTGGGTTTGTTCCCAAAAATAGCCCAACAACTTTGCGGTTGTCAGGAATTTTACTTTCTGAAATATGGCAACCCTATATAGCTCAGGGAAAACCTAATTATCAGAGATCAAATTGGCAGGTTTCTGCCATATATGCTTACGAATACATAGGTGTCACAGGTATGTTGCGTGTTTGTGTGTGTACATACAGAGAGGGAGAGAGAGGATTCTGAAACTCAAGAATAAGACATGCAAGTCCATTTTTCTTTGAACACAAGCCAGTCCTTAAAGCTTTATACTCATCTGCACACAAAGAACATGGATTATTTCCTTTTTAAATTAGTTACTCATCTAGTGATGTGTAAAGTGAGTGCATTAGTAAGTTATCTGCACAGGGTAATTTAAGCAAATTAGGTACAACAAACACAAAACAAAATATTTACTCACTATTGACTGCATTGGATAAATGCCACTGTCTAGCAATATAGTTTCAAGAACATCTTGATCTACAGACAAAAAAGATGGTAGAAGCGATCTTCAAATTATTACAGCATTTGCTTTTTAAAAAATTTGTAGCAATCAGTAACATTTAAACATTTCTAAGGTGAATTCTGAAAATATGTGTGAATAAGTGTGAATAAAATTTAGTATTCCGTGAGTATAAATCATGCGTTTAATGTCACAAGATGTACAAGACCATAAGTGTCAATATTTGCACATCTCACTAAACAATGTGCCACTCAGAGCTCGTCCCACCGAAACTATGGAAACTGTCTATGGTTCCACAGAAAGAATGGCAAGCCATTTTCCAACTTTACTCATAGGTTGATTTAGTTACACTAGCAGGAGGTGGTCACTTCTCTAGCTGCAGTTTTTCCCCTTGGGCTCAGGGAGCAGCCCCCTCTCAGTTGCTGTCTCTGGTCATGCTGCTGTCCCTGAGTAACACCATGGTTTAGTGCAAAGTGCATAAGCCATAAATCTAGAACTAGATTTCTCCCCTACCCCTTCCTCCTCCTGCAAAGGAAGGCTTTTGGCTTTAGTTAGCCATGTATTCCCATAGGAATCTTCATTTACACCAGCTATGGTCAGTTTCAAAATGAGCCAACTTCAATGTAATTTATAGTACCTGCCTTTAAAAAACACACTCACAAGGTACACACAAACCTTTATCCCCATAATGAAATACAATCTACTGGCTGAAGTGGACATGTAAGAGAGGGGGGGGAACCTCTCTAATTGTGTACACAGGTTCTTAAAAGTCAAGAACTGCAAAACACAAGAGCAGGAGTGCACACAAATGTTGGAACACATTCCTTATTAATAGCACGGTACATAACATCTTGTTCAAAAGGAAACTTGTGTCCATGGAAAGGTAGAGGGAAAAACACAAGGCAGCTCCCCACCCCACCCCCAGTGTTTAACAACTGGATGCCTGGCCTTGTTCCCATTCATGGTACTTTTAATGGAATATTGCTATCTTGTTGATCATTATAGTTTCAAGAACACAGAAGCACAGCACTTACTAAGTTTAATTTTTAGATTCATGGAAGTATGATTACGCTTTGCCTAGGATTTTCCTCTGTTTAAGCACCACATTATATTCAATTTCAACTAGGAATGTGGATTATTAATGCGGGGCAGAAATAGTTTCTCCTCCCTGCATGAGCGATAAAAGCTGATGTCACCATATTTTAGGTTGTTGCCATGGATGCCAATAGCTTTCCCTCCACTTCTGCATACCAATTCAAACACGCTTATCTCAGTTCAGCAAGTTGGCAAGGTAACCTCCCTCACCCTCCTTAATTTCCTATTGGCATCTCAATGTCTGAATACTGTGCACTTTCCACCACAGCTTGTCCCTCTTAAAGATAAAAAGAACTGACTTTTGAGGGAAAGAAATATATTTTGGTGACTGCCTACATATGCCTGTTTATTAGCTAAATGTCACTTTTGTCAGAGACCTGGTGTGTGTCTGTGTGTGCTCTTGTTTCATAAATGCATGCAGAAAACCAGAAAGTTCTCCAATCAATGGATCTACTAGGGCTGGTTCATAATAAATTAAGTTATGCAAAGCATACACCAGTTTTCTTAAGAAGAATAACCATGGACTTTTTAAAGACTTCTTTAAAAGTCTTTTTAAAACCATGTATACATGGTTCTGATTGTTTCCCCCACATGTTGTATGATGTCCCTGCTACAAAATTAAAATTTGGCAGATGGGCAGAGTAGGGAGCTCTTTTTCAAAGATCAAGGAATGTTTCAGAATTGGACTAGGGTTGGGTTTAACAGTAAAACCAACCCTAGACCATAGGGCTAGACTATAATTAATTTGTGGGAAACAGCACTAGAGCAGTCACTCAAACATTCTGTCAAAGGTGAAGGCCAGCCACTTCTCAGCAGACAGACAAAATAAAAATGGATACATATACGTGCTGAAGGTGATCCAAAGGAATGTGGAATGTAACATATAGATGAGATGGAGGAAAATACAGGTGTATGAAAGAGACATGCAGATTATGCCAAGCTTACAAATAACCATCCCCTCCCCCTAGATCACCCAGTGGTAACATCCAAGTAAAAACCAAAATAGCGTATCACCTATGCTGTATGTTTTGTCAGCTGAGCATTGCTCTGGCTAAATGTACTGCTCCAGAAAGCCCAAGCTCAACATGAAGCTATTAGCCCTCTAAGGAAGGAAAGGAATAGAGACACAAGACACATGTAATGTGAAGTAGTTGATTCTCCCCTAGAAAGCAGTGGTCTCTCAGGAGCACGCTGTCCTTCATACCTTGGAAACATATATAACCTGCTTTTTTTCTTTTTAAGCCTTGGGCAGAAAGGCAGAGAAAAATCTGCCAAGCATGCAGTCACAGTTGTTGCAAACTGATCATTGGCACATATTCTTGATTAAAATAAACTCATTCAAGCCCTAAAGATTCAAGATTTGCAAAAGAGAAATGAAACACCATTGTGTGGTTGAAAGAGGCACAGAAATGAGGCTCTGCTCTCTATGCCAACTAGATGAGCTACAAATTACATAGTTCTAAACACAAAGGTGAATTATGTCCACATTTTAGTTTAATGATTGCGGTGGAAAGTAGAAAAATTAGGACAGGCTTTCTACTTACATTTTAGAGCACTAAAAGCCAGTTCATAGGACAAACGCTGGAATTGTTCATCTTTGAAATCAGGAAGAGAAGGTAGTGGCCCATGTCCATATTTTACCAATATTTTATCTTGAGGCTTTTCATTATGAATGCCCTGAAAGATGTTGGCAGCGTTTAGGTAAACGGAGTCCTGGTAGCCATTTTTCTCAAACAGGCTTGTTGAGCTTTTTTCAGAAATTACTTCTCCATTTGAAAAATTCATCTCGTGGAGACTCGAAGTGTCACTTGCAATATTAACATTTGAATGCCCCAAGCTACTTCTGAGAACCGGCATTGTTTCGGTATTGATGTATCAGTATATAGAAGGGTGGCAAGTCAGACTCCGAAGATCCCTGTGGAAATATGAGTTGTATATTAATTGCAACAAATCAGTTGACAAGCATGTTGTTGACTTTTTTTGTATTCTTCTTTGAAAATATAATCATCAAATCATTTTGTCTAGGTGGCTAACACAGTAGACATCACTAGCAGGAACTATTATTATTATTATTATTATTATTATTATTATTATTATTATTTATACCCTGCCCATCTGGCTGGGTTTCCTCAGCCACTATGGGTGGCTCCCAACAAAATAATAATAATAATGTGATAAATTTCCCTAAACAGGGCTGCCTTGTCAAGTCAGCAAGTGCAAAATGAAAGCATCTTGCTACCACTCAGCTCTGATCAACTAACTGAGCCTGGTGACAGATATATGTATGCACAATCAAAATGTTTTGACTGGAAACCTTTAGTATAATGGAGACCAAGAAGAACCTCTTCAGCAACCTGATCCTAGGAACCACAGGACCAGCAACTACCTATGCTGGCTCCAGAACAAAAAATACCAAGCCACTGAAATGCTGCAGCTTGTAATATGACCTAACCCTAGTTACTGCAAAAATATAATCATGTACAATAAAGTCATTTTGCAGAGCTGAAGGCGGTAGCGGTGGCATGACTGGAGGCAATGCAACACAGGTTTGTATTTTATGATCTGTTGCCATTATATTGCGTACAGATTGAGGTAGAAAGCCAGGAAAGAGTTATAATATAACAATAAAAGGTAAAGGTACCCCTGCCCATATGGGCCAGTCTTGACAGACTCTAGGGTTGTGCGCCCATCTCACTTAAGAGGCCAGGGGCCAGCGCTGTCCGGAGACACTTCCGGGTCACGTGGCCAGCGTGACAAGCTGCATCTGGCGAGCCAGCGCAGCACACGGAAACGCCGTTTACCTTCCCGCCAGTAAGCGGTCCCTATTTATCTACTTGCACCCGGGGGTACTTTCGAACTGCTAGGTTGGCAGGCGCTGGGACCGAGCAACGGGAGCGCACCCCGCTACGGGGATTCGAACTGCCGACCTTTCGATCAGCAAGTCTTAGGCACTGAGGCTTTTACCCACAGCGCCACCCGCGTCCCTTACATAACAATAGCCATCCCTAAAAGCCTTGTGGCCAGCAAAGAGTATGTCTAAGCAGGGCTTTTTTAAAGCAAATTTTAGAATCGCCCAGTGGTATGAGATTATAATTCACACATAAAGTGTGGACCACAACAACACATCTGTGTGCTTTCTTCCTGTGGGCATGCATGGTTTATTGATTAGTCACATTCCAGGACATTTAGAAACCTACATATACCTGGATAAAATCTTCAGGACTAGTGCTCTGACAGCACTAACGCAGAAAAGCGTTATTGATTTCATACTAGAAACACTGGTGAACACTCCGTAGAGTAGAAGCGGACATGCCTTTGGCAGGGGGAGGAGAAATGGATATGCTTTAAAAATCCCTCTGTTTAAGTACTGTGCAAGTAGGTGGCTATCACAGGATTGTAACCAAGAGGCTGCTAAGACAGGAGATATGTCCACACAAGATGATGCTGTAGTATAGCTATGTCAGTGTGAGGCAGTACTTGAGCAACCATAGCTCTGCTCACATAAAGGACTAAGATTTATTATTTGGGGGGAGGTGATTGAGATGTGACCCAAGGCCATTTTCTATTTTAAATAAATTCAGCTGTCGCACTTTGCATATGCTGTCCCTCGATTCATATAAGTTTATGTTGTTGATGACAAGCACAACATTACAAGAACCATTTCCTCATCAACAAGGAAAGCGTAATGACCGTTTAATATAAACAGCAGCCACAGCATCAAGTAAAGAAGCAGTAAACAAATCTGTTCAAAAATAAGGTAATTGTAGAACATCTTATCAGCTTTCAGCAGAATCTTCCAGGAAGCATCACTAAAAAAAACTGCTTCTCACAGATCCTACATGAAGATCACATTTGATCAACAAAATTTCACGCATCTTTTTACTGCCACACAGATTCCAATTTCGTGATACAGGAAGCTTCCGATTGGTAACAGGTTGCACAATCTGGACATGAATTTACCTAGTCAAACATAGCAAGCATAAACTGAAGTGATATCCATACAGAGATATAATCATTTGTGAAGTGGCCCTTGAAAGAATTTCTAATATTCCAAAACCTATTTAGTTGCTTAGTGGGACCATTCTCAGTACAGTACTAAACAATATGTTTCCTATTTTTAAAGAAACCCTCCTTACACTTTGCATGTCCACAGAAATTACATGCAGTCTACCGCAATGAAAAAGGTGGTAATGTCAGGTGAGCTGCCTTTCTGAGACACCCAAGAAACACGCACAAAAACTGGCAATAAGAAACTTAGATCCTGCCCACCACTCTTTCAGATTATTTCACCCCCAAAATCCACATGGATTACACATCCTAGCAGAATAGCTTTCATGTTTCTTCCATGCGAATTTCTTCCCATCGCTCATTTCTCTGCACACAGAAAGCATTACACCTTAATAACTACTTGTCGTTGCTGATCCCAAAACTCTTCCATCGCTTGGAAACCGACGAGACCGAAGGACAACAAGGAAATGCACATACCCGCTGTTAAGAAATGACTGGAGTGCTTTATTTTCGTGGCGGTGCTTTCCCTGGTGAGACCTCTGTACTCTTCTGATCAGCTGAGAGAAAGAGAAAGGCAGGATTAAGGAAGCTTTCCCTGAGCGATGAGGGAGAATACTGCACCTGTCAAATTTCTGCCGTCCTGCAGCTACTGCGTTTTAGGGTTGCCATCTTTCAAAAGTGTAAAAGCAACCCCAAAGCTGTCAAGCTTTTATATATATATAAGGTGCAGCACCAGGGATGCTGTGTCCAGATTTCCCAGGACTTCAGGATCCCCCTCAATCGAAAGTCCTTTTTTTTTGTAAAAAGAAAAAAAAAGATCGGCAACTTCGGGGTTCATAAAAAAAAAAGGTTGACAGTTTGGGGGTGGTTTTGTCCTGGACCCTTGACAAGTCCATCGAAAAATCCAGTTTTGTTGGACTTGGCGAGGGTCCAGGACAAAACAAACCCCAAAGCTGTCAATCTTCTTATTTTTTCCTTTTCCTTTTTTTTTTTTTACAAAAAAGGACTTTCGAGTGAGGGACGCGTCGATACCTCCCTGAAGTCCGGGAAAATCCAGACACGTGGCTGGGGGGCGCGCCGGTGCTGCACCTGTTGAATTCCTACCGCCCTACCAACTCCCGCGTTTAAAAGCTGTGAAGGGGGGTCTGAGGAGAAAAGCGCGACGGTTCGCCTCAGCAGTGAGGCAGTTTTGGCCCCGAGTCCCTCCCGTCCCCCCTCACCCCGCGACGGACCAGCGCAGCCCTCGACGCCCTTCAGGGATGCTCCTAGGCGGGAAAGCTCGCTCGCTCTCTCCCGCTTCTTCCCTCGGTCCTCCTCACCCGCCCGCCGCCGCTCGACTCTCCCGGGCGGCCTCGCGCATCCCCACCCCTGGCCGACGCGAGGGTGGGGGGGGATTGATCCTGCTTGACCAGCGACGCGCCCGACGCTGCTGCTCTCGCGCCAGACGCCGCCTCCCAATCTCCCCCTCCAGGAGGGGAGGGGCTCGGGCGTCGCCTCGCCCCGCCCACGTGCCGCACCCGCCGCCGCCGCGAGCCAAAGCCGTTACGTTCAAATCTGGACTCGGCCATTCGCTCACCCGCGGGCGGGTGTGCGCGAGTAGGCGCGTGCGGGCCGCAGGCGGGCTTTGGTTCCCATCATTTCCCCGTGCGTTGAAACTCCCTTCGCCCTTTGCCCCCCTCTTTCTTTGCGTCCCTCCTCCGTGTCCTCGCGCGCGCTTAATGTCGCATTGTCCTCGCTGCCTCCCTGCGTGGACCGACGCTTTGGTACCGCCCGGCGATGTTCTTTCCCTCCGGGGTTCTCTCTCTGAGGGCGGGCGGAGGCGGAGGCTTTGGGCGTAGCACTACTTTCTTTCGCCCGTCTTATTTTATTTTATTTTAATTTATTTTTTAATTATTCATTTGGCTTTGCAAATCTCACTTTTACAATCACATAGCCAACATACAGCATAAAAAATGGGAGGGGCGTTATTGGATTATTGTTTTTATTTTGTTTTTATATCTCGTGATCTTTTTTGTGAACCGCCCTGAGATCTCCGGCTATAGGGCGGTATATAAATTCAATGATTGATTGATTGATTGATTTGAATAAATAACAAGGAATTTCCTGGACTTCGCTCCTCCCCTTTGTGGGTCCTATTGTTGGTCATTTTCTCCTGCATCGTTTATTATACTAATCCAAATCTTTTACATCTCTATTATACCCAAAATTCACCATTAAACTACAAGTGTGCTTCCAATCCTAGTAACAATTTATTATTATTATCACGGTTATTTATTTATTTATTTATTTTACCTACTAACAATTTTAACTGCTTACAATGGTTTTTAAGATAAATTACAAATTTGCCCCATTATTAAAATTTTGGCCTTCCTGATTTCTGATTCTTCCAGTCATTTTTGGCATTTCTGCATAATCTATCAACAAACTGCCATTCTTCTCTAGTGGGGACTTTTATCTTCTTTCCATTCTGGGCTGGCAATATCCGTGCAGCCGTGGTCACATACATAAATAGTCTTTTCTGCTCCCTTGGGATTTCAGCACCTAAAATTCCTAAAAGAAAAGCTTGGTGGGGGGTTAAGAAAAAGCTTATTTTAAACATTTTTTTCAACTCATTATAAATCATTTCCCAAAATTCTTTTACTACCTTACATGTCCACCACATTATAGAAGGTGCCTTCTTTTTCCTTACATTTCCAGTCCAGCCCTTTTCTGCATGCTTTTTGATGCTCTTTATAACCATAGTCATGATGGTCATGTTTGGGGTGGAGGCAAGAAGTACCACTTTAGCTAATGGGGCCTCCCACTTTAGCTAATGGGGCCTCCCGCTGCTGCTGCGCTGCCGCCACGCAATTTCTGTTCTCATCCTGAAGTAAAGTTCTTAACCCGAGGTACTATTTCTGGGTTAGCGGAGTCTGTAACCTGAAGCGTCTGTAACCCGAGGTACCACTGTACCATTTTCAGTGTCCACACAATTTTTTTCCCATCAAAATGCGATCCTGTGTTTTTTCTCCACTTAATCCAGATTTACCTTTTTCGGGGGGACCCATTGATAGCAATATACTAGCTCCTTATTGCGTTCAGTCAGAGGCGTGCCATGATTTTGAAGTCTCTTTAGTGTTCCGATATCCTTGTAGCTTTTGCTTGAGTGTTTGGCTGTTCTGTTTTCATTAGGAAAACTCAAGGTTACACAAGAATAAGTTATCATTTCCCCCCTCCCAGCCTGCATAGATCTTCTAGAATCTCTCTCTTTAAAGGCAGATAGAATCATAGAGTTGGAATAGACCACAAGGGCCATCGAGTCCAACCCCCTGCCAAGCAGGAAACACCATCAGAGCACTCCTGACATATGGTTGTCAAGCCTCTGCTTAAAGACCTCCAAAGAAGGAGACTCCACCACACTCCTTGGCAGCAAATTCCACTGTCAAACAGCTCTTACTGTCAGGAAGTTCTTCCTAATGTTTAGGTGGAATCTTCTTTCTTGTAGTTTGGATCCATTGCTCCGTGTCCGCTTCTCTGGAGCACCAAAAAACCTTTCTCCCTCCTCTATATGACATGTGCAAGTCCTCCAGTGCAAATCTAAATATTTTTCAGATACCATATATTTTATCATGCACCATCCCTCCAGCAGTACCTATAGTTATCCTGTTGGGTTTAGCCTGCCTCTTATGGCCGCAGACAGATCAACACAGCCTGGCCATCCATCTTGGCAACTATCGGGTCTGAAATCTCCTTGCAAATAGATTTATTTTCACAACATTGGCTGCTATTGAAGCCATCCAACTAAGCCAGATGGATCATTAGCTGGACACACAGTGGCAGTTTTGCTTCATGTAAATTGGCAAGGACTGACTGACACAGTGACAAAACACAATCCCTTAGGTGTCCAATTTGTGCAACAAACTTTTTGTCAAATCTCAGTGGCCCATTGTGTCTTAACAAAAGCCTTTACTTGACTTAGTAATGCTGAGTGCCTTGTGCCACACTGAAAACAGACCCAGTAAGTAATTTATTATAAGCTAAAATCAAATTTTGTATGATGAAAAGCCAATTTAAAGATCACAATACTTTTGTTTTTGAACTCCCTGCCATTGTATTTTTCAGCAGCTGAACTGATGGCTCTCGTAAGGTAAAGGTAAAGGGACCCCTGACCATTAGGTCCAGTCGTGACTGACTCTGGGATTGCGGCGCTCATCTCGCTTTATTGGCCGAGGGAGCCGGCGTACAGCTTCCGGGTCATGTGGCCAGCATGACTAAGCCACTTCTGGCGAACCAGAGCAGCGCACAGAAACACCGTTTACCTTCCCGCTGGAGCGGTACCTATTTATCTACTTGCACTTCGACGTGCTTTCAAACTGCTAGGTTGGCAGGAGCAGGGACCGAGCAACGGGAGCTCACCCCATCACAGGTATTCAAACCGCCAACCTTCTGAGTGGCAAGTTCTAGGCTCTGTGGTTTAACCCACAGCGCCACCCGTGCCCCGATGGCTCTTGTAAGCAGTGTAATTTGAGACATTTTCTTTGCTTAACTGTAATACAAGCTACACAATATTTGTCCAGCAATTAATTAGTAACAGAAGCTCTTGCCAATTACATCCAGGAGTCTTTCTCTTTGTCCAGTAGAAACAAATTTATACAAGTCTTCTATTCAAGCTATTCAAGAGCTGTAATTAAACTCGCCTGATCCTTTACCCGTAATTGCTTCTCAGTTTAGAATTTTTATCTCCCATTTTGGAGACTTCTGTATTTTTTCCAGAAATAACGTTCAGACATAAGTTCAAATGATTGTATTGTGTCCCAAAATAAACATGAATACAAGTTTGATGTTTGATTTTCGTGTTGTTTTTATCCTACATGAAAAAAATATTAATAGAACGCAAAAAAACATATATGATGCAAAGTAAAAATGGTCATGATAGGATGTATTTTGATCCTCTAATCTGTTCAGGAAGTAGCATATGAAAATGATATTTATTAAGAGGTCTCTTGAGAACCATTCCCCCCCCCCAAAGATTTTCAAGTAGATCAGGTGGGGGGTGGGAAGTCCACTGTCCTAGATTGCCAAGACTGGGTGAAAGAGAGAAAATGCTAATGCAAGAACCTGAAATTTTACTGGTGTTTTACATGGCAAAAGTCTGCAACAGGCAAACCCAAACTCCCTGAAATAAACACTACTATCTTTATGCAGATTTCCCATCCCTTTAATATTCATATCCACACCATCCATTTAAACCACATGACATTCCCAAATAATTCTGGGAACTATAGTTTACCACTCACGGAACTACAATTATTCCCGGCACCATTAACAAATTATTAGCCTGTTAGCTCTTTGCGGGAGACATGTGCTTCAAATGTGATTTATACCTCTGGTATGGGTGTGATCACATACAGTAGAAGACAATTCACAATAAAATATTTGTAAATTATATAGCGCCTATCACTTAAATATTGCTTTTACAGTCAGCTCCCTCTAGTCCACTCTGTGCATATTTGCTGAGAAATAAGCCCCAAGGAGAAACATGGGATTCGCTCCAAAGCACAAATGCTATGCTGGGAGAAGCATCAATAAGTTGCAATCCAAAGACTTCAGACGTCTCCTGTTGATATCCCATTCTCTGAAAGGTGTCTTTCAGGCTAACAATATTATTTGACATGTCTTAGATTTCATAACTCAGGAGTAGAGGGGGTGGGCAAGAGAGGAATTCTAATCTCCAAGTAGCATATTGGATTTCAGCTTTGGCATCATATTCTGGTTTCTTGATGTGCTCCAAGAGTTCCCACCAATGTCAAGAGGTTAATGTCGTTTAACGTCCGGATGAATGCTGATCATATATGCAAAACTGGATATCAAAGCTCCTGTTCTTACTGCTTCCAGTTGCAACCGAGAACACAAAGCAACATCAGCTGTATTATAGCAAGTCAGATCCTTGGGTCCTTCTGTTTTTTAAATTTATTTATTTGGTTTTTCAGATTAAAATGTTACAGAGCTGTATCAAACATAAATCATAAAAACAAGATTTCAAGGAATCTCCTGGACTTCCATCCTCCCCTTTGTGGGTTCTGTTATTTATCATTTCCTTCTGTATCTTTTATGATAGTCCAAATCTTTTACATCTCCATTGTGTCCAGAATTCACCCTTAAACTACAAGTGCTATTCTAATCCTACGAACGATTTTAACTGTTTACAATGGCCTTTAAAATAGATTATAAATGCCCCCCATTCCTTATTAAAATTTTGGTTTTCCTGATTTCTGATTCTTCCAGTCCTTTTAGCCATTTCGACATAATCCATCAACGTCACCTGCCATCCTTCTCTGGTCAGGACTTTATCTTCTTTCCATATCTGGGCCAGTAACAACGGCACAGCCGTGATCTTGTACATAAATAGTCTTTTCTGCTCCCTTGGGATTTCAGCAACTAGGATTCCTAAAAGAAAGGTTTAAAGTATTTTTAGCAAAGTTTATTTTAAACTTTTTTCAACTCATTATATATCATTTTTATCCTTGGGTC